TATACAATGGAATATTACTCAGCCATAAGAAAGAATGAAATTTTACCATTTGCAACAGTATGGATGGACCTAGAGGGTATTATGCTAAGTGGAATAAGTCAGACAGAGAAAGACAAATACTATATGATTTTATTTATATGTGGAATCTCAAGAACAAAATAAAAGAACAAAATTGAGACAGATTCAGATACAGAGAACAGATTGATGGTTGCCAGAGAGAAGGGGGGTTGGACTGAGTGAAAAGGGTAAAGGGATTAAGATCTACAAATCAGTCATCAAAAACAGTCCCAGGGATGTAAAGTACAGCATAAGGAGTATAGTCAATAATATTGTAATAACTATATATGGTGCCAGGTGGGTACTAGAAATATCAGGGGTGCAACACTTTGTAAAGATATAATTATCTAACCACTATGCTGTATACCTGAAACTAATACAAAGTAGTATTGAATGTAAACTGTAATTGAAAAGTTAAAAATTTAAAAGCCATCAACACTAACCAAGCTAATGGGTAGGACTCTCCGTCCACCCCCATCCCAGGAGGGTCCCGATGCAAGAACTGGATTTTCCTAGGGTTGAATTCATTTTCTATTTTCAGCACCAACATGAATGAAAACCCAGTCAATTTGGGGTTTGCTCCCCTTCTCCTTAGGTGCCACAGTTTAGGGGCTTAAGTTAATTCTGAGGTATTGGGAAGGAGCAGTCAATTTTTAAAAAATGTAATCTTTATTTACACAGCAGCATGCCCAGCCGAACCCACACACATCCATACACACATATGTGTCCACACACACACGAAGCAAAACAAAAACTAAGTTCTATTCCTTTGAGAGAGGAGAGGAAATGGAGAATTGGAAGGCGATGAATAGTGCCACACTGTGCTTTGTAGATAGGAAAAATAACTATTGTAAAGATCACAGCATCCCTGAACTAATCAGCAAACCTAATGCAGTTTGCATGAAAATACTAGTGAGATACAAATGATACTAATATTGATCTGGAAAATAATTATATGATAGCTATGAAAAAAATTTTTTGAAGAATGAAAAAGTGAAATCAGCCCGTTCAATGTGGCTCAGTAGATTGAGCACCATCCCATGGATCGAGAGGTCCCCCTTGGATTCCTGATCAGGGCACATGCCAGGTTGCAGGCTCCATCCCCAGCAGGGGTTGTGCAGGAGGCAGCCCACTAATGTTTCTCTCTCACATCAATGTTTCTATCTCTTTCTCTAAAAACATCAATAGAAACATTTTTTTTTTTTAAGTGAAATCAGCCCTACCAGATAATAAAATGTCGGGAATTCAGGCTCTTTACAGTTTTCTACTCTCCCATCAACAGGGAAGAAAAATAAGGAAAAATGTTGGCATCCATTTGATGAAAGGCTAGTTTCCTTTGTATAAAATTAAGAAAAAGGCCCTGGTCAGTTGGTTAGAACATTGTCCAAGGTTGCAGGTTTGATCCCCATTCAGGGCACATACAGGATGCAAACCAATGAATGCTGAATGGATAGAAAAACAGATCGATGTTTTTTTCTCTCTCCCTCTCTTCTTCTCTATAAAATCAATAAATACACAAATTTTTTAAAGTAAGGAAAAGATGAACAGCATAATTTGATAATGTTATTTTTATTTAATTTTTTAAATTGATTTTAGAGAGAGAGGAATGGAGAGGGAGAGAGAGACAGAAACACTGATGAGAGAGAACATTAACTGGCCACCTCCTGCACGCCCCCCACTGGGGATCTGGCCCACAACCTGGGCATGTGCCCTGACTAGGAATCGAACCGGCAACATCTTGGTACATGGGTCGACACTCAACCACTGAGTCACACCGGCTTGTTACTTTTTAAATTGCTTTAATCATCCAAGCACCACATTCTTTGGTAGAGTTATGCTAAACTGGGGGTAGGGAAGGACACTGATAGGACAGGCATGCTTTCCAGTTATTTTCTAGTCACGAAAAGAACCCAAGTTTCCAAAAAAGAATGAAAGAGGTGCATTACTATACACCCCTTATAAGTGAAAATAAATATAAGAAAATTTTATGAACTACTTTGTGTGTTTAAATTAGATAACTTAGAAGAAGTGGACAAATTCCTAGAAAAGCACAATTACCAAAACTGACTCAAGAAGAACACTGAAATAGACCTATATTGGTAAAAATATTAAATTAGGAATAAAACATAACCTTCCTACAAAGAAAGTCCAGGCAGCATACCTGATCAATTCTATCAAATATTTAGGCAAGAAATAATATCAATCCTCCTAAACTCTTTCATAAAAGGGGAGAAAATACCTTTACATGGTGAATAGTATACGGATACCAAACCCGGACAAAGACAAAGACATCACAATAGGTCTAGATCCAATGTATATAGTAGGGAGATACATACACACACACACATATAGAACCCAAGTTTATAAACATAAACATATAAAAAAATATGAAACATGAACAAATGGCATTCATTCTACATTTGCAAAGTTAGTTAGTTTAGGACCTGCAATAAGTTAACTTAATATACCATATTAGTAGAATAAAAACCCAAAACTACATGTTCAATTTAAGAGGCACACACACACACAAAAAAAGCATTTGATAAAATCCAACACCCCTTCATAAACAAACCCAGTAAACTAGGAATAGAAGGAAACACCCTCATCCTGCTAAAGGGAATCTGTGAAAAACCTACAGCAAACATTAGTCAAAGAATACGTTTTCCCTTAAAATTGGAAACAAGTCAAGAATGTTTATTCTCACTATCTACTGGGGTATCTAACAAAATACCCCACAACTTAGTGGCTTAAAGTCACAGTAAACATGTATCATCTCTCAGTTTCTGGGGTTAGGAATTCGGAACAGCTGCCTTAGCGTTCAAAATGTCAACCAGGGCAAGAGTCATCTCAAGGCTCAACTGGTGAGGGGGCTAAAGGATGTTCTTCCAAGGTGGCTCACTCATGTGGCTGGCAAGTTGTGTCGCCTTTAGGTGAGACTTCAGTGCCTCCCACATGGGCCTCTCAGGAGGGCTTGTTGGGCACCCTATCGGTACAACATGGTGGCTGGCTGGCTCCCCTCAGAGTGAGCAAGCCGAGAGACTTAGGCGGAAGCTGAAGTGTCTTTTCTGACCTAGACTTGGGAGTTGCACCCTGCCATTTCTGCAGTATCCTATTGGTCACACAGGGAAGGCATAATTCAGGGTGAACTGGGACTACACAAGGGCAGAAATACAGTAGGAAAGAATCCTTGGGGACCATTTTGGAAGCTGCTACCACACTACCTTTACCCACCCCTCACCTGGGTTACTGTGATAGCTTCTTTTTTTCTTTTTTTTTAATCCTCACCCGAGGATATTTTTCCATTCAAATAGAGTGGCGGGGGGGGGGGGGGGGTGAGTGAGAGAGAGAGAGAGAGAGAGAGAGAGAGAGAGATCAGTGCAAGAGACACACATTGACTGCTTGCCTCCTGCACGACCCCAGGGGACTGAACCCCAACCAAGGTGTGTGCTCTTGACTGGAATTGAACACACCACTCTCTGGTCTGCGGGTCAATGCTCCAACTGCTGAGCCAAGGGCTGTGATTGCTTCTTAACAGAATCCCTGTTTCTGTCTCCCTGAAGTCTGTTCTCAATACTGCAGCCGTAACCCTCTTACATCATACATGTTGCTCCTCTGCTCAAAACTCTGTAACAGCTTCCTATTGTCAAGTAAAAGCCAGTCTTTACTGTGGCGCCAGGGCCTCACATCACCTGGACCCACTACCTTTATTTTTTCTTTTAAACTCATCTTTATTGTTGAATGTATTACAGATGTCCCCCTTTTTTCCCCAATGACCCCCCTCCTCCCCAATCCCGCCCCCCTCCTGGCTTCCCCACACTATTGTTGGTGTCCATTGGTTATGCATATATGCATAGAAGTTCTTTGGTTTATCTCATCCCCTCTTCCTCCCCCCTTTCCTTTGAGGTTCATCAGTCTAACAACCAATGTGTACTTCTTAATTTCTTCATCTTTTTCACCCATCTCTCAACCCCCTCCCATCTGGTAAGCAACAAAAAGTTCTCTGCATCTAGGAGTCTGTTTCTGTTTTGCTTGCTCATTTTGTTTGTAGACTCAACTGTTGATAGACATGTACTAATTGCCATTTTATTGCTCATATTTTTGTTCTTCTTCAAGAAGACCCTTCGACATTTCATGAATACTGGTTTGGTGGTGATGAACTCCTTTAGCTTTTGCTTGTCTGGGAAACTCTTGATATGTCCATCGATTCTCCCACTACCTTTCTGACTAATCTACCACTCTCTTCACTCACTCCAGCGCAAATGCTATCCCTCAAATGCACTAGGACTTGGCCCCAGTGCCCTTGCACTGGCTCTTTCCTCTGCCTGTGATGTTTTTCTCCCAGATAACATGACTTGTTCATTCAAATATCAGCTGTTCAAAGAGATCTTTTCTGATCATCACACATAAAATAAAATAGCACTCCTTCCATTTCCTGAGTTATAAGCACTTAACACATATCTCCTGGTTTCCTCAAGGTGCAAGCTCCGTGAAAGCAAGGGGCTTACTTTGTTCTGGCTGAAGTCTCAGGATCCAGAATAGCACCTGGCACATGGGAAACACTTAGTAAATATTTAATGACTGAATAAGAGGGTTAATGAAAGTGGCTGATTGTCCCAGCTCTGCCTGCAAAAATGCCTTGTTAATATCGTGAATTAGGCCTAAGAGAAAGAGAAAGGAAGCAAGAGGAAATGGGCATATGGGTGGAGAGATAGCAGAAAGTGTAGCTATTAATAAATGAATAAGAATGGAGGTAAGTTAGGAAAATAGCTGTGATATGAAGTAGATCGTTCAGATGTGTAAGTCTGTGAAATCTAAAGAAGGAAAAAAATGATCGTTATGCAAACTCAGAGGAAAAGGAAGTTTATCTATGAATTCAAAGGAACATATAAGCATAACTGTAGTTAAAAATATTAAAAGACTGAAAAACAAGGATGTTTATGAAACTATGGTGGAAGCTTAACAGGGCAGGCCCTCCGCATCGGATGGACGTTTCGGGGCAGCACCCGATGGACGGACAGCAGCTCCTGGATCTTGTCCTGGCAGACCTTGTTGGCCGCTACGCCCGCTTCCAGCTCCCGGCGCTCCTCTTCCTTCTGCGCTTCCCGGGCCTGCTGCTGGTAGGCCACTTGCATCTGAAGCTGCTGCTGGTACTCCTGGGCTAAGCCCGAGCGTCTGCAGTATCAGAAAGGTCAAAATAGGAAATTATAAAACAGTAAACGTTTGGATTTATTTAGGGCATTGCAATTACAGTGTAACTGGTGAAGTCAGATTAAAGCTCCCATTAAAATTAGGGTGAGTGGGGAAGAAATGAATGACAAATTCAATAATGTGTTCAATACATAATAATTATGATAGTCATAGAACAAATATTGATTTTAGGGAGAATTTCAAAATATTTACTGTGATATGAGAGAGTTTGGGCCTCTTCCCATCCTCTCTCAGGGTTAGTAAAACTGGGAACAGGCTGGTCTGCCAGTTTCCCACTTTGTTGGCTCTCTAAGGGCCAGGCCCCCACAGGAGAGGCCTGCAGTGGTCTCATACTGCTGGTGATTGGGTGGGTAAGTTTGCCTCATTCTGTTCAGTATTAACTAGACAATTTCCTCCATAGATAAGCAGCATTTTAAATATATAAGCCACATTTAATTTTATTTATCTTATTTATTTATTTTTAATCCTTACCCAAGGATATTTTTCCATTTTATCATCAGACAGAGTAGGAAGGAGAGGGAGAGAGAGAAACACCGATGTGAGAGGGACACATCAACTGGCTGCCTCCTGCATGACCCAACCAGGGCTGGGGACAAACCACAATTGAGGTATGTGCCCCTGACCGGACTCAAACACGTGACTCATCGGTCCGCAGGCTGACACTCTAACCACTGAGCCAAACCAGCCAGGGCTATAAGCCACATTTGAAAATTTATACTATGAATCCTGGCCAGCGTGGCTCAGTTGGTTGAAGTATCATCTCATACACCAAAAGGTGGGGGGTCTGATTCCCGGTCAGGGCACAAACACAGGTTTTGGGTTCGGTCCCCAGTTCCTGGTCAGGGTGTGTATGGTAGGAAACCGATCAATGTTTTTCTCTCACATTGATGTTTTTATCTCTCTCTCTCCCTCCCTTTCCCTTCCTCTCTCTCTAAAAATCAATAAAAACACATCTTCAGGTGAAGATTAAAATTTTTTAGCCCTGGCTGGTTTGGCTCAGAAGTTAGAGCATGGGCCTGCAGACCAATGAGTCATGGGTTCGGTTCTAATTAATGGCACATACCTCAGTTGCAGTTCGTCCCCAGCCCTGGTTGGGGTCATGCAGGAGACAACCAGTTGATGTGTCTCTCTCACATCAATCTTTCTCTCTCTCTCTCTTTCTCCCTCCCTCCCTCCCACTCTATCTGAAGATAAATATAAAAATATCGAGTGAGGATTAAAAAAAAATTTTTTTTATCTATACTGTGATTTTTTAAAATAATTATTGTGGTAAATAATGTAAGTTCAGTAGTGTTAAGTATATTCACATTGTTGTGAAACAGATATCCAGGACTTTTTCATCTTGCAAAACTGAAATTCTATACCCATCAAACAATAAAAACTCATTTTCCCTCTCCCCACAGCCCTTGGTAGCTACATTTCTATTTGCTGTCTCTATGTATTTGACTATTCTAGGTACCTTATATAAATAGAATCACACAATGTTTGTATTTTGGTGACTGGCTTATTCACTGAGCATAATGTCCTCAAGGTTCATCCATGTTGTACTATGTGTCAGAATTTCCTTTCTTTTGTAAGTCTTTTTCCTTTTATTTTATTTTTCTTTATTTTAGAGAGAGAGACGAAGAGAGCAAGAGAGAGATAGAAACATGGATGAGAGAGGACATCGATTGGCCACCTCCTGCATGCCCCCCACTGAAGATTGGGCCCACAACCCGGGCATATGCCCTGACTGGGAATTGAATCGGTGACCTTGGTACATGGGTCAAAGCCCAACCACTGACCACACAAGCCAGGCAGTGATAGGAATTTTTCAGCTCTGTTATAATCTCATGAGACCATCCTCGTATACGCAGTCCGTGTTTGGCGGAAACGCTATGTAGCTGATGACTGTACTGATGTAAAATAATGTTGGTAATGCAAGAAGTATGGCACATTGTCCTCTGTGTTACAAATCTTTTTTGTTGTTTTTGTTAGGTAGTAAATAATAATAAAGAAAACAAAATCATACCTTGCAAAACTCTCCCTCTCTTCGCGGTTAAGCTCTTTAAGACCTTCGTTTATGTGTTCCTGTTCCAGAGCACGTTCTTCTTGTTCTTTCGCTTTTCGTTGCACTATGAAAGACAAAGGTAATCTTTGCTAATTGACTTTTTTCAGACACGTCTTGCTAACATCTTTCTGGGCACCAATGCCACATTATTTTTAGAAAGACAGAGCTGAGCCCTGGCCAGTTTGGCTCAGCGGTTAGAGCGTCAGCCTGCGGTCCAGAGAGACCCGGGTTCAGTTCCCGCTAAGGGCATGTACCTCGGTTACAGTTTGTCCCCGGCTCTGGTTGGTCGTGCGGGTGGCAGCCACTCAATATGTCTTTTTCATGTCAATGTGTGTGTGTCTCTCTCTCTCTCCCTCCCTCCTACTCTATCTGAACAAAAAATGGAAAAATGTCCTCGGGTGAGGATAAAAAAAAAAAAGAAAGAAAGACAGAGCTGAGAATCACTGGGCTGAGTCTTAGATCAATAAGGAAGAAGTTGTAATTGTGCTGGCCTGCTCATATCACATCGCCCTGATTAAATAATACAAAAAGCCAACTGTGTGCCCTGGCCGGTTTGGCTCAGCGGTTAGAGCGTCGGCCTGCGGTCTGGAGAGACCCGGGTTCGTTTCCCGCTAAGGGCATGTACCTCGGTTGCAGTTTGTCCCTGGCCCTGGTTGGTCGTGCGGGTGGCAGCCACTTGATGTGTCCCTTTCACGCCGATGTTTCTCTCTCTCTCTCTCCCTCCCACTCTATCTGAACAAAAAATGGAAAAATGTCCTCGGGTGAGGATTAAAAAAAAAAAGGCCAACTGTGGAGCTTTCAGAGGCAAACTGAGGAAGTACCAGCCGGCTTGGTACTCCTCTGAATGAATTTGTCCTCTAAGCAAAATTATTATTTTTTAGAACTTAGAAAATAGAGTGAATAGCAGGACAACCCTGACCATAGATGTGCTGACACAGCTCCATCCCGCCTCTGTTCCCTCCCTCCTCTGTTCCCTCCCGCTTATCGCCCACTGCCTCCCCTTCTGTACTTGCTTGCTCTCCCCCAAGGCCAACAAGAAATGCCAGATGCAGAAATTTGTAACAAGCCCCTTATAAATTGAAAATGTGGCTGAAAGTCGGGGCTGATCTCGGAGAACTCGGGCCTGCAATTGGCTCTGGCGGTCTCCCTGGCGCCACAACAGGTATCTCCCCTGAGGACAGAACAGGGTCAGGTGCACATGTGCTGCAATCCACACAGAGTTTCTCTGAATCATTTTCTTTAATCCTCACCCGAAGATATTTTTCTATGTATCTTCAGATAGAGACAGAGAAAGAAACATCGACATGAGAGGGACACATCGACTGGTTGCCTTCCACAGGACCCCAACCAGGGCTGGGGAGGAACCGCAACCGAGGTACGTGCCCTTGACCAGAATCGAACCTGTGACTCTTTGGTCTTCGGGCCGATGCTCCAACTGCTGAGTCAAACTGGCCAAGGCCCCTTAATCATTTTTTATTGAGACTCTATGATCAGCCTTTTTCAAACCAGATCACCACACAACAGTTCTCACCTTTCTCCTCTTGAGGACAAATAGTTCTAATGACATTTATGTTAATGACAGATGTTACTTAATACAAAATTAATACTGAAAAAAATCTTAGTCAAAAGACACCATGTGCATCCAATCTGACTCAGTTAATTCAGGAATATGTATCCTAAGACCATAATTCTACACAAGACCTCTTCTTATATGCAGAATTGGATTTTCATTGCAATACCTTTTAACTTTAAGAAATTGAAGAAAATCAATAAAGCAATATAGACAAATGGCTACAACAAGTACAGTGTAGGTACAATGGATGCATATTTTGAAACTATTAAAAACTTTCATTAAAAGTGATCTGTGGAAACCCATGGAAATGTATCTAATATAGGATTTTTAAAGACTAAATAAATGGCATTTGTAGTGTGAAAAAAAAATAGAAGAAAGTCTTAGTATACAAGGCTTTTATAAATTAAATAAGAAAAACAGATGCATCCCTATAGAAAAAAAATGACAAAGAAAACAGAGTTCACAAAAGAATAAATACAACCAGGCAATATACATCTGATAGGTACATATTTTCCCAAAATCCACTTACAGAAATTTATCTTAAACAAACATGTATAAGCCAAAATAAACTATTTACAGAGCTTTTAGAACAAATGTAACACAGTCATCTGTAGCTTAATGATGGTAACCTGCCATGCTAAAGTAGTGATAAAAAGATTCAAGACAATCTGAAGGTCCATTAGTTGTGTTCAGGTGAAATAAATTATGGTTCATTTTTATAATGGATTTCTAGGTAGCATTACAAATTGTATAACTGAAGGAAAATGACCTGGAAAATATATATGATAAGTAGAAAATCCAGGCTATAAAATAACATATACAACATGATCCTGACCTGTGAGGGGAAATTGTATACATAGTAAAAACACTGGAAGGAAATACCTGAAGTTGTGACTCGTAGCTATTCCTGGGTTGATGGAATCATAGTAGATTTTGTTTTCTTGTTTATAAATGGTCCCAAATACTTAAATTTTTTTATGTTTTCTTAACATAGTCTGAAACATTTATCATGGATAAATACAGAAACCTTTTTTAGCTTATAAACTTTCTTCTCATTTTCCTAAAACTCCATCTAATACCGACTTAATTTCAACAGCTGTTGTAATATGTGGAGTGTAGAATTAATCAACGGAACCACGATGAGCTTTCTCTTGCAAAGACAACTAGCGTGAAGTCCAACGGCACCCTAACGGTGAATCTGCCTCTCCGGTTCATTGGGCTGCACATGGAATGCTGGGAACTGAAGGTAGCCAAGCACTGTTTGAGCTCAGGGAATATAATGGTGTGCTAAGACATGAGCAAGACACAGTGAGAGCCCACCAAGAGGATTCATTATGAACAGGGTGACACAGAGGCCTCTCAAGGAATGAGACATTTGAGCTGTCTTTTTTTGTTCAGATAGAGCGGGAGGGAGAGAGAGGAAGAGAGAGAGAGAAACATCGATGCGAAGGGACACATCGAGTGGCTGCCACCCGCACGACCAACCAGGGCCGGGGACAAACTGCAACCGAGGTACGTGCCCTTAGCAGGAACCGAACCCGGGTCTCTCTGTACCGCAGGCCGACACTCCAACCGCTGAGCCAAACCGGCCAGGGCCATTTGAGCTGTCTTGAAGGATGTCCAGAATTTCTCAAGATCAAAAGTATCATAGGCAGAGAAAACTACCCAAGCAAAAGGTATGCAGGTAGAGAAGTATGGAGACACCTGCAGAAAGGAAAGAGGAACAAATAAGTCCGGCCAGTGTGGCTCAGTGGTTGAGCACTGACCCATGCACCAAGAGGTCGCCGGTTCGATTCCCTGTCAGGGCACATGCCCAGGTTGTGAGCCTGATCCCCAGTGGGGGGCATGCAGGAGGCAGCCAATCAGTGTTCTCTCTCATTGATGTTTCTGTCTCTCTCTCCCTCTCTCTTCCTCTCTCGCTAAAATCAATAAAAATTAAAAAAAAAAAAAAAGTCGAACAGATAAAAGGGAGGAATGTGGGATGTGTGTCTTACCTACCTTCTCACTCTCCTTTATCACCTCTAAGGCACACAGACCACTCAAAGGATGTGCTGTTCCTTTACCCTTGAGAGCATCTCCCCTATGACTGCTCAGAGTAAAACTCTTCATGTTTATACTTCATGTAGTCACAATTAGATAGGATCTGCAAAGCAGGGAGCTTGCCTTAATCCTCTTTGCATGCCTCATAGTAGTTTACACATGCTACCTACTTAATAAATATTTTGGTTGCTATTTACATTGAATTAAGGCCCAACTAAAATATAATTATAACGAGTTTCCTTACACTTTTCTTGAACTTGAAGTTTTCTTGTACACATGACCTCATTCACAAGTTGTCTCCTTGCCTCCTTTTCACATTTCAGCTGCTTGTCCTTCTCAGCCAACTTCTTTGCCTTCTCTTCCTCTAATATTCTGTCCAGTTCTTTCTCCTGAGCGTTTTCTTCCTCACGGCGCTGTGCCAAATACTGATGGTATATCTTCTGCTCTCTTATCATATCTTCCTACATAACATAAACATTACCACGTTAAAACATTGTTAGGTGTGGTCATGATATTGAAGATATTTAAAAGATCTACAGTGTCAATGTTTTGGAACTACTACTTAAATGTTTATAGATGAAATATTATGTCGAGGGTTTACTTCAAAATACTTGGGGATTGTGGGGTGTACTGGGTAGGGGTTTGGATGAAACAAGAATGGCCATTAGCTGATGGTTGTTGAAGCTAGGTAAGGGACACATGGGGTTCTTTGTACTATACTTTATATCTGTCTGAAATGTTTTAAAATACATTGTTGAATAAGTTAATACAAACACTACACCCAAAAGTGTTTCTTAAAGCAGTTCCCAAATAACTTGCAATTATATAGCTTTATTTTCATTTAATTTAGGGAGATGAAATCTTAACCTGATAAAATAAGTCACACTACTATTATAGCACTGTCTCTGACTAGAAGATAAGTCAGCCACCTGATACTTTATAACAGCAATTCTCAATCTTAGCTACACTTTGAAATAACCTGGGGAGCTTTTTTTTCTTCTTCTTTTTCTTCTTCTTTACTTGAGTTCTGGTTAAGAAATAATTTAGAGCCAAGACTCAAATACAAGCAAAAGTTTATTTAGAAAGTCTCAGAGGTAGAAGTGAGGCAGAGAACAAATGTGCTTAGGAAACAAGTTACTGAGGCAAAGGGCCCTTGGAACTTAGGAGAGGCAAGGAAAATGCACCTGGGGGATGGGAGTGGGGAAAGGTGCAGGCATGCTGGAGAGGGAGGGAGGGAGGCAGAGAGAGAGAGAAGCCCACCCACCCACATGGGGAGCTTTAAAAAGTACTAAAGGTTGCATCGGCCTCCGGTCCAGAGAGACCCAGGTTCGGCTCCCACTAAGGGCACGTAACTCGGTTGCGGTTTGTCCCTGGCCCTGGTTGGGTCATGCGGGGAAACAGCCACTCAATGTGTCCCTTTCACATCCATGTTTCTCTTCCTCTCTCTCCCTCCCACTCTATCTGAACAAAAAATAGAAAAATGTCCTCAGGTGAGGATAAAAAACAGTACTAAGTGTTGAATCTCACCTCCAGAGATTCCTGTCTAATAGACAGCTTTTAAGTTCCCCAGGTAATTTTAACGTGCAGCTAAGGTTGTGAACTGGGCTTTCTAACAAAGACATTTCAGTTGACTTCTCCATCTTTCATGATTTTATGTTTGTGCTGTTCTGTCCAAACTCTGATCTCATCTCCTCTGAGAATATCATAGATCTGAGGTAGGACGAGCAAGGTTTGAAGGTGTAGCTGCACTATCAGAATGGCTTGTATACATAGTCTCTTACTTAGGAATAAATGTAACAAGAGAAGGGCAAAGCTTATACTCTTAAAACTGAGAAACAGGCCGCCCTGCTCCCTGGCGTGACTCGGCACTGAGAGCCCCGGGAGAAGGTCTGCGGTGGCCACCGCCTTGGTGCAGGCGGTCTGAGCATCCCCTTCCTCTCCCGGTCCTCCTCGCCTGCGGTTTCCAAGCCCGTGGCTTGGCGGGCTTCCTTCCGGGTCTCTGAGATTGGGGGGAGTGAAGCCTACTGGGAGCGACCGGGATTTCCAGCTGGAGCTGAGCGGTGCCAGCTCCCGACGCGCCCTGGTCAAGTCCACCCTGCGAGGGTGAGGACCATGTTTAAGGCTCGCCCCAGCACTCAGTACTATTAGGGTTAAGTACCCGCAGGCAGTTTTCTTGGAAGTAGATGTACACCAGTGTCAGGGAACAGCTGCCACCAACAATATCAACAATATATCAGCAACACCTATGTTTTTATTTATTAGAAACAAAGTGAGAATTGATCAGTATCAAGGAGCAGATGCTGTAGGACTAGAAGAAAAAAATCAATCAGTGCTTAGAAAATGACCCTGGAAGCAAAGACACAGATATTCCAAAAGGCTGTATGGATTTAAAGCCTTTTATCAACAACGCTGGCTGTGAATGTCTTCATGAAAGTGACGAGCATGAATTTGACAACTGTTTACGAAGACATGACCTTTTTGAAATCTGATTGTGATAAACAGCTTCTTATTACTGTGGCATTCAATCAACCTGTTGAGCTTTATTCAATTAAGTTTAAAGGGCCAGATAATGGTCAGGGTCCTAAATATGTAAAATATTTTTATCAATCTACCCTGATCTATGAATTTTGAAGAAGCAGAAAGAAGTGAACCAACTCAAGCTCTGGAACTAACAGAGGACGATATTAAAGAAGATGGCACTGTCCCTCTTTGTTAAGCTTCAGAATGTTAACAGTGTAACTATATTTGTTCAGTCCAATCAAGGTGAAGAAGAAACAACAAGAATTTCATATTTTACTTTCATTGGTACTCTAGTACAGGCAACAAATATGAATGATTTTAAACAAATACGAATGGCAAAAAGGGAGAAAGTTACTAAGATACAAAAGACACTGGAAGACCACATTGCAATCAGATCTACAGCTCCTGGATAACCGCTTGATTCTCGCCAGACTGTCTATATTCCATTCATTGCCATTACCAATAAATCACTGCTTTTGTTCAGATGATATCACTAGTGTTTCTATTGTAATCTTGATACATGCAATAGTAAATAAAAGTCACTACTTTTGCCAAGCTAAAAAAGAAAAAGAGAAATATTATTGAAATAAATAAAAGAAGATCTAAATAAATGAAAGAACATTCTATGTTCATGGATCACTAGACAATACTGTTAAAATGGCAATTGTCCCCAAATTGGTCTATAGATTCAAAACAATCCCTATCAAAATCCCATTGTCTTTTCTGCAGAAATCAATAACCTGATCCTAAATTCATATGGAAATGGAAGGGAGCCAGAATAGCGGAAACAATTTGTAAAAGAACAAAGTTGGAGAATTCACATTTCCTTATTACAAACTTACTACAAAGCTACAGTGGTCCAGACATATAAACATGTGATACAGCATAAGGATGGACATACAGATTAATGCCACAGAACTGTAAATCCAGAAATAAACCCTTACATTTACTGTCAATTGATTTTTGACAAGGGTGCCAAGACAACTGAATAAGGGAAGAGAAGTCTCTGCAACAAATGATGCTGGGACAACTGAATAACCACATGCAGAAGAATGAATTTGGACCTCGAGCTCACACCATATACAAACTTTAACTCAAAATAGATAAAAGGCCTAAATGTAAAAGCTAAAACTATATAACTAACAAGAAAATATAGTACCACATCTTTGTGACCTTGGGTTAGAAATGTATTTTTAAGAGATGACAACAAAAGCAAAAGTAACAAAAGAAAATATAAATTGGACTTTTTCCCAATTAAATATTGGGCAAATGACTTGAATAAACTTCTTTAAGAAGGCTATACAAAAGACTTCAAATAGATTTCTCCAAGGAAGATATATACAAATGGCCAATAAGCACAGAAAAGAAGCTCAACATCATTAGTCACTAGGGAAATGCAAATCAAAATCACATACCACAAAATGACATATCACTTCAGACACACTAGGACGGTTTTCTTAAAAGGCAAACAATAAGTGTTAATGTGCATGTAAAGAAATCAGAACCCTTGCCCTGGCCGGTTTTACTCAGTGGTTAGAGCGTCAGCCCATGGACCAAAGAGTCTTGGGTTTGATTCTGGTCAAAGGCACATACCATGGTTGTGGTTTGGTTCCCAGCCCTGGTAGGGATCATCGGGGTCATGTGGTAGGTAAATAGTCAATGTGTCTCTTTCACATCGATGTTTCTCTCTCTGTGTGTGTGTGTCTCTTTCTCTCCCTCCTGCTCTAACTGAAAATAAGTGAAGAAATGTCCTCGGGTGAAGATTAAAAAAAAGAAATCAGAACCCTCATACACTGCTAGTGAGAATGAAAATTGGAAAACAGTGTAACAATTACTCAAAAGCTTAAACATAAGAATGACCCTAGAACTCAGAATTCTCCTCCTAGTTATATGCCCCAAAGAAACAAAAACATATGTCCAAACAAAAACTTACACATGAATGTTAATAGTAGAATTAATCATTATAGCTAAAAAGTAGAAACAATTTAAATGTTCATCAGCTGATATTAATTTGGAATAAACAAAATATGGTAGATCCATACAATACAATGGAATATTATTCAGCTATATAAAGGAATGAAGTACTCATACGTGGTACAAATAGATAAGCCTTGAAAACATGCTAAGTGAAAGAAGCCAGTCAAAAGGTTATATAATATATGATTTCATAATGCTTGTGATATTGTGAGTAATTGATAGTAAGAAAATATGTATTTGGTGTTCACATTTCTGGCATAGAGTTCCTAAAACCCTTAGAATTTCCTAAGTAATGAGAGAGAAAAAGGTATCTTATGTTAATGAAGTGACTTTTGGACAGTACCTAAGGTTGGGGGCTGGTTGTCAGGGAAACCATGTAATTAGAGGATTCGAATTTCTAATCCCACCTCCTGATCACCTGAGAGAAGAGAGAGGCTGGAGGTTGAATCAATCACTAATGGTCAATGATTTAATCAAGCATGCCTGTTTAATGAAGCCCGCATAAGACTCTAAAAAGGAGAGCTTCCAGGTTGGGGAACCAGAACACTTTCATGTTCCACCATGTCAGGTCCCAAACAACACAAGGACAAAAGCTCCTTTGTCTAAGAACACCATCCTATGTATCTCTTCATTTATGTGACTCGAATCCTTTAATATCTTTTGTAATAAACCCATAGTCCAGTGAGTAAATGGGTTTCCTAAATTCTGTGAGCTGCTCTAGCAAATTAATCAAGCCCAAGGAGGGGGTTGTGGGAACCTTTGATTTATAGCCAGTTAGTCAGAAGTACAGGAAACAACCTGAACTTGTAATTGGCATCATGAGTTGGAGAGGGTTGTTGGAAGTTCCAATTTGTAGCTGTTAGTCAGAAGCATAGTTAACCCGGGCTTTTGATTGGTGACTAAAATACAGACTGGACTTGTAGAACTGAGCCCTTTACCTGTGGAAACTGATGCTAACTCTGGGTAAATAGTGTCAGAATTGAGTTGAATTGTAGGACACTCAGCTGATATCCTAAACATTGCTTAGAAAATCCCCATCTCCACATATTGAAATTGGGTTCAGAACCCTTAATGTTCCACATTATATGTCATCAGAGAAACACAAACTAAAACAACAATGAGATACCACTACACCCCTATTAAAATGGCCAAAGTCCAAAACTCTGACAACACCAAATGCTAGTGAGAATGTGGAGCAACAGGTGCTCTCATCCACTGCTGGTGGGAATGCAGAACAGTTCAGACACTTGGAAGACGCTTTGGCAGTTTCCTATAAAACTACACATATTTTTACCACATGATCCAGTAATCATGCTCCTTGGTAATTACCTAAATTAAAAACTTATGTCCACGCATAAACCTGCACATGAATGTGTATAACAACTTTATTCATAATCACCAAAATTTGGAAAGAGCCAAGGATGTCCTTCAGTAGATGAATGGATAAACTGTGGTACACCCACACAATGGAATAGTATTCAACACTAAAAGGAAATGAGCTATCAAGCCATGAAAAGATTTGGAGGATATTTAAATGCTTATTACTTAGTGAAATAAGCCTGCCTAAAGCCTATCTAAAAAGTCTACATACTTTATGATTCCAACTAAATGATATTCTGAAAAGGCAAAACTATAGAGATAGTTTCAAGCCAGTGGAACTACTCTGTATGATACTGTCATGGTGGATACATGTCATTACACATTTGTCCAATACCATAGAATGACTAACACCAAGAGTGAACCTTAATGTAAACTATGGACTTTGGGTGGTAATGATATCAATGTAGGTTAATTAATTGTAACAAATATACCACTCTGGTGGGGGATGTTGATAATAGGGGAGGCTTTGCATTTATGGGGAGGAGGTAGCTATGGGAAATTTCTATATCTTCTGCTCAATTTTCTGTGAACCTAAACTGCTCTTAAAAATAGTCTGTAAGCCCAGATGGTGTGGCTCAGTGGTTGAGCATTTACCCATGCACCAAGAGGTCACCAGTTCAATTCCTGGTCAGGACATATGCCCAGGTTGTGGGCCAAATCCCCAGTGGGGGGCATGCAGGAGGCAGCCAACTGATGTTCTCTCTCATCAATGTTTCTGTCTCTCCCTCTCCCTCCCCCTCTCTCTAAAATCAATAAAGAAAAAAAAAATAGTCTGCAAAAAATGGTACTATAGGAAAAACAAGACACCCTTAAGAGTTCAATGCAAATTTCAAAGGAACAGACTGCTAAATGAACACTGGAATGCTTTGCTCTACTCGCCTGACAAAACTTTACATATCCCTCAAGGTCCAACTCAAATATCACTTTCCAAGTGATGTCCTCCCCAACAACTTCCAGGCATACTTATTCCCTCCCCTTCCTGTGATCTCATCCTATGATCACAGTGCTGACACCAAGTTATAGACTAGGAAAAACCCGAAGGAGCTTGTTAAAACACAGATCCCTTGCTCCTGGCAGGATTTGAATTGAGAGATTCTGATTCTGGAGCCTTTGACTTTCTATTTCTAACGCTCTCCCAGTTGATGCTGATGCCACACTTAGAGGAGCACTGTTATGGCTCCTTCTACATGTGGCTGGCTCCTGTAAGACCGAGAGCTCAACAAGGACTCTCATCCAGCACACATTAGGCACTGAATACGTGTCTTACTCTTTTTTGTTTCTTCTTATCAGCCTCTTCCTGTAAGTCTTGCAGGGCTCTTTGCACGAGCTTCATGTTCAAGTCTTGCTCTTCTCTGTATTCCTGTTGAATACGTTCTGTCTTCTCTTGGGAGGCTTTTTGCAAAATGGTCCTAATTTCCCGTTTTATCTTCTGTTTCTTTAGCTTATCCTGCTCATTCTCACGTTTCAACTGAGCTTTGTCATCTTCCTAAAGTAGAACAATAATGAAGACAATGCCTCAGTACAGCCAGACAAAACAAATGCATGCATTTCATTTAGGAGATGAGAATAAAGGGTTTCTTGCAAATATACACACCTGGATTTAGAGTGACTATAAGAAATAAAACTTGCCTTTTCACTGCTGAGTCAGCAGTAAGGCTTTGTGAAATTGCTGTGTGTGTAATTACAAAGTGATAAATAGTTGTCAGGTTCAAAATGCAGAAACGTATAAAGAGAAATCACCTTTAAGCCTAGTACCTATCACTCAGCACCACTCTCAACATTTCAGTGTATTGGCCTCCTAGACTTTATTCTTCTATGTACATCTGCACATCTAGATTTGGGTACATTATTAAACAGCAGTAAGAATCCAAAAACAGAAATGTGCACATCAGCTAAATACACAAAGCTAAGTTTTAAGAATTTTGTCCTTTGAAGTATTCCCCTATTCCTTTCATTTTCTTAGCTTTCTGGCTGGCTTGATTACCTGGCCAATCAAGCAGTTTTAACCAGGGCACCAATGCTGTTGGGCATTGTGGGTTGGGTAGAAAATTTGGGTGCGGTATAACTGAGGCATTAGTCCTCCTGCCAGAGGCAGCTGAACTCTTCTGGAGGGATAAGTACTTGCCCAGCTGGGACAGGAGATGGCACAGCAACAGTGAGGATGGGATACAAATCCCAATTTGACTTGATTTGACTGAGATGCATAACAGCTATGGTTTGTGAGAGAGGAGTTTATATACTAGACTTTTCCATTAGTGCCATAAGCAGTAAATCCGACTCAATTGTAAGGGTCAAATTTAATAATATAAGTGAAAATACTCTGTAGTATCTAAGCAAAAGCAATGGGTATCGAGCATGAAAGCCAGTGGAATAGCAGGCCCCACTTCTAAAGTAAGCTTGACCACATCAGGAGGAAGCCAAATACAGACTATAAGATGGAAAGGGGATGGGGGAACACTGTTCAAGATTAAGAGACCTAAAAGTAGTGTGCCATATTTTTGTTTCAGCGGGATAATCCTAATCTTACAGCTGTTATGCCAATGTAATGAATTTATTGGACCCCTTTTAATCTCAATCATTCTTTCTAAAAGACACTTATAACAACCATATTTGAATTCTGATTTAAATATCAAATAAGTCAGACAATGATGGAAACTTGATGCTCATTTTAGATGATAAAAATGAATTAATATTATTTTTAGGTCTGACATTGTCATTGTATAAGAAAGTGTCCTCAATTATTGTTGTTGTTGAGATTTGTAGTTGAGATATATAAGGGGGAAATGAGATACCTGGGATTTGTTTTCAAACAAAAAACAGATAAAGGTGATATCTTGTAGAACTGTATACCTGAAATCTGAAAAATGTTATTAACCAATGTCACCCCAATAAATGCAATTTTTAAAAAAACAGAGGGGATGGGATAAAAAGAGGAAACCGATATGGCAAAATGTAACAGCCACTGTCCTGGCCGGTTTGGCTCAGTGGTTAGAGCGTCGGCCCGCGGCCCAGAGAGACCCGGGTTCGGTTCCCACTAAGGGCACGTACCTCGGTTGTAGTTTGTCCCTGGTCCCAATTGGGGTCGTGTGGGTGGCAGCCAGTCAATGTGTCTCTCTCACATCGATGTTTCTCTCTCTCTCTTCCTCCCTCACTCCCTCCTGCTCTATCTGAAGATGAATGCAAAAATGTCCTCAGGTGAGGATAAAAAAAAAAAAAGTAACAGCCACTGAAACTGGGTACATGGAGACTCATTGTACTCTCCATTTCTGTGCATTTAAAAATATTCATAATAAAACATTTAAAAAGATAGACTTTATATAACATTGTCAAAAATCACAACAAACAAGTGATAAAGAACATATCAGTGGCTGCCAGGTGTCAGGTTGGAGGAAGGTTTTAACTACAAAGAAGTAGCTAGAAGGAGTTTCTTTGGGTGACAGAATAGTCCTGTGTCCCAATTTTGGTAGTAGTTATATAAATCTATCCATATGATAGATAAAATTTCATAGAACTCACCCGCTTCCTGAAGAGTACAAATAAAAATTGGTGAAATCCAATCCTAAGGTTTTAGTATAGTTAAATAAGGAATAACTTTAGCTGTGTATATACACACACACACACACGTATATATACATATACATACATACATACATACAGGAATGTTTGGTTATATAAAGGAACACTCTACTATTTTTTGAAAATTCTTGTGAGCCTAAGATTATTTCAATAAAGTTTTTCAAAAAAGTTTTTTATGAAATTTAGAAATAGATAGCTAGGTGTGATATAATAAAAAGTAAATATTTGGTCTTTGTCCTAGGTTCCTGGCACATAGCTCCTAAAACCTCTGAAATCTCTAACGTGATAAGACTATCTTTTGTATCCTGGGATGATGGCAGCTGGAGCTTCAGGATAGGGGCTGATAACCAGAAAGACCAAACCATGTGATTAGAGGTTTGGGACTTCCAGCTCTGCCTCTCGACCTTAGAGAGAGGAGGGGGCCAGAGATGAAGTTCAATCACCAGTGGCCAAGGATTTAATCAACTGTGCCAAAATAATGAAAGCTCCATAAAAACCCCAAATGATGCGATTTGGAGAGCTTCTGGGTTGGTGAACACATGGAAGTGTTGGACACCTGGTGTTCACAGGGCATGGAAGCTCTGTGTATAACGCCAAACCTTTCCCTGTGCATCTTTTCCACTTGACTGTTCCTGAGTTCTGTCCTTCACAATAAACCAGCAATGGTAAATAAAGCATTTTCCTGAGTTCTTTGCATTGTTTTAGTGAATTATCAAACCCGAGATGCAGTCATGAGTGCCTCTGACTTTACAGCCAAGTTGGACGGAAGTGTGGGTAACTGAGGACTTGCCACTTGTGACTGGCAGTCTTGTGGGACTGAGCCCTTAAACCTGTTGGGTCTGACACTGTCTCTGGAGAGGTAGTGTCAGAACTGAATCAAATTGTAGAATACTTAGTTGATGTTCACACAGAATCAGAGAATTTTTTAATGTGATAAAAAAAACTTACATTTGTTGTCAAAAGTGTTGAGTAAAAATGGCTCATTAGGTATCTTACACCAGAGAATGAGTTTAGAAGGCAGTTTAGGGGCCACCATTTCTATTTTCTTAGAGAAGCAAAAATATTTAGACATCTCCTACCAAACACTTCAAAAGAAAACAGTCTCAAACCCAGAGAAGACTTCTAGGGCTCAGAAATGCCTTACCTTTGACATTTTCTATGGTTCCAAATTTCAATACTTGGGATTTCCCAGGAAAATAATACCCTTTTCCTAAATTCAGTGGTAATAAAGTATCAGTTGCTGAAAGCTTTATATACATATAAAATAGCTACATTTTCAAGTGCGCTCACACATTTTCAGTGACAGCTCTAATTTCTATACAGTAGGGCAGTGGTTCCCACCTGTTTCATCTCATGGAACACATAAACTAATTGCTAAAGTTCTACAGCACACCAATAAAAGCTGGTATAACTTTGATTCATTCACACCAGACGACTATTGTGTTGGCTGTTGTCAGTTTTTATTGGACAGTCTAAGGGAAAAACGGTCACTGCCCTGAGTAAATAGTCAGGTGTTGCACGTTTTACAAATTCTTGTGGCACACTGGTGGAAAATCACTGCAGTAGGGGCACCAATCTTGTTGGAACAAGATTATTGATGTTGGTGGCCAGAGGGTCAGGTGGCTGTTGTACAGCACTTCTTTAAAGGATTTGGAAACTGACTATTTACATATCAAAGAACAGGGGATGTTGCCAAATGATCACTAGCCCTCTACAGCGCTGCCAATGATTATCCCATTTCATCCCCCAAAGACAAATGCCTTTGCCTCATTTTTCAGATAAAGAAATTGAGTCACTGCAGTGAAGTAATTTGCCCTGTGCAATGGGATGGCACTATTAGCTGGGCCTTGAAATCCTGTGAACCAGCCCAGGCCACGAAGCGAACTGTACAGCAACAGGCCGGCAAACTGCATCCTATCCCCACTGAGCGGATCACCCCACGACGAGCATTTTAAAAGGCCCACCACAAGACGCGCCTCCTCTTCCTTCCGCTGCTGTGCTGCCGTCCTCTGCGCCTTGATTTCAGTGATCTGGGTGTTCAGCCCCAGGCGTGTGTTCTCCACGAGCTCTTTCTGTCTCCTCGCCTCTTCAGCTTCTCGCTTTTCCTTGGCTAACCGGTCTTCCTCCCAGAGCTTAGAGAACATCTGCTCTTCCACCACTTTTTGCCTTTTCAGCTCCTCATTAAAGGCAATCTGTGCTCTCCGCTCCTCCCACACCTTCTTCTCATGGATAGAGGACAATTCAATACGGAGCTCCTCACAGCGTTCCCTGAGGGGAGAATTTTAAAAAGACAACACGAGGCCTTTCGTGAGAACTGCTCTATTTAGACACATATCTATAAAGTCAGATCCTGGAGCAGAAAAAGTAAAAGATCTGGACATAGGCCTTAGGGGCAGAGAAAACATGTGAGCAGCAGAGAGGTGGGCACTGTGGTGTCACAGACAAAATACAGGCACTGGGTCAGACAGAGCAGGTTTTGAATCCTAGTTTTGACTTTTCCTGTGTGACCTTGGATCAAATATTTGCTCTATCTGAGGCTGTTTTTCAGTCTGTAAAATAACTGTCTTTTAAGGTTCTGGTAAGGATCAGGGATAATGGATATAAATGCCTGGTAAATAATAGGGGCTCAATAAATGGTAAGCATGATTATTACTGTGGAGGAAATAGGAGAGATGGGCCCCTGCAATATTACAAGTGGATTAGGCTGTGGCAGGAAGAGACCCCACATGCACATCCCAGGAAAGATCCAAGGGCAGAGTCAGCATATAATGGGGAAGCTTCCCCACTGCACCCGGACTCCTGGGAGGGCCCAAGTCCACTGAAGGGGTCTCTGCCAGAATTTCCTTTTCACACCCGGGCTTATGTCAAGAAGAAATGCTCTCTCCATAAGTGTTTAGACTTCATCCTTTCGTTCAGTCTTGGTAATTAAAATTTCTTCAAAAGTTCTTCATTGAACCCTGTGATAGTCAACAATGTCTATACTTTAAAATTACTTAGGGATATTTTCAAAATCCTACTTCCCCCCCCCCCCCCCCACTCCCAGACCAGACCAGTTAAATCAGAATATATGGCAGTAGGACACAGGCATCCGCATTTTTACAGCTGGATCACGAGAGCCTCTGATTGAAGGCAATGTTTACACACATCAAGTCTTCTTGGGTTCGAAATCAAATTCAGCAGCGAGAAGCTGATGTTTGAGAATGGGCTCAATATAGCACTTTTGATGGAATTTTAATAGCTAAGAATGAAAGAAAGAATGAAGTCTCAACTCTCATTACAAGAGTGGTCAATACCTCTATTTCAATGATGATAATCACTGATAAAAAGGAAAATGTTCTGTTTGTGAGCGCTTTACGTGGTACTTTCACACATAAACATCGTACTTCTTCCTCACAAGTATCTTATAAAGGAGATGCAGCAGCAAGAATTGTCCCCATTTCAGAATTAAAGCAATCGAATCTCAGGGAGCCTAAGTGTCTTCCCAGGCCACACAGCCAGCACTAGTAATAGTATCAGCAGTACTTGACTGTTTTTATTTGCTAGGCATTGTTCTAAGCACTTTACATCTATGGACTCTCATAATCTTCCTAACAACCAATGTTTCAATAAACATTACTGCAAGTGCATTTTCATCATTATTATTCCCAGTTTACAGATAAGAAAGAGGAGGCACAGAGCAGTTAAACATCATAGGTAAGTTTAAACATTTCATATGTGGTAGAGTTGGGAGTGAAAAACTGGCCAGCTGGCCCTGGAATTTAGCTTCTTTGGTCCCTGATTATAAGAGTCCATACATGTAAAGTGTTTAGAACAGTGCCGGGTCAGTAATCGACAGAAACAAGACTACTCTCAAGTATTTGACCAGGCATCCTAGGGTATTTGTTTAACAAACACATCCCAAAACAAAACCAAAAACTGTCTATCTTAATCCGGGGTCCAATCACTCATTGTATATAAATATAGGACACTTAAAAAAATCGCAATTGCCCTGGCCGGTTTGGCTCAGCGGTTAGAGCGTCGGCCTGCGGTCTGGAGAGACCCGGATTCGGTTCCCGCTAAGGGCACGTACTTCGGTTGCAGTTTGTCCCTGACCCTGGTTGGTCGTGCGGTGGCAGCCACTTGATGTGTCCCTTTCACATCGATGTTTCTCTCTCTCTATCTCTTCCTCTCTCTCCCTCCCACTCTATCTGTACAAAAAATGGAAAAATGTCCTTGGGTGAGGATAAAAAAAAAAAAAATCGCAATATACCAAAAGCATGTTTCATAAAATAAATATTGATAAATTGGATTTCATCAAAATCAAAATATTTTTCTCTGTGAAACACCCTGTTAAGAGAATAAAAAAGCAAGCTACAGACTAGGAAACAATATTTTCAAACCACATATCCTACACAAAGAACTCATATCCAGAATACATAAAGAACTCTCATGACTTACTCACTAATCCAATTAGATGGTGCGCGGAATATATAAAGAGACACTTCACCAAAGAGGATGATACACAGATGGCAAATCAGCACATAAACAGTTGTTTATCATCACCAGTCTTTAGGGAAATATATGAATGGCCCACTGAAATTCACTTGCTAGTGACCCCTTTGTCCCTCCCAGCATCTTCTCCTCCAGCGGCCAGTAGGCAGTGTCCGAATCCTACCAAGGACAGGAGGTATGGCTAAACTTCAGAAAGGCCAGAAAATCCAAGTCTAATCCTGTCTTGGTTACTACAAGCTTGGAAACCTAGTAAAAGTAATATCTGTGGAACTCAAGTTATCCATCTTCCAGCTGAGGAGTGGCGAGTCTCCTGGTCATGTGCATTACTGCTGTTTTCTTCATTGTCCTTCTTCAGCAGTTCCCCAAGCCCTAACACTTCCAACCCCTACATTTGGCAGTTTAATTTACTTTGTTGGCAGCTGTATCTGCAATCTGTATGCACCACTCACTGCAATAGCTTATTTCTCCTTTGGGTCTCTATAGGAATATTTAGGGCAGTATCTATGATTAATAACAACTTCATGGCAGAGAGAGAGGAGAGGGCATAAGCTTTGTCTCTGAAATATGTCTTGATCTCTCCACATGCTTGGTTTTGCTTCTTTCTCACTTCTTGTGACTTTTGGCTTTCTCACCTATTCAAATTTCTTGTGCTGTGAAGAATGAATTGTATTCCTTCTGTATTCTACCACACTTTAAACTCAGAGTTTGCATTTTACTTTATCTTGGACTATAGGCAATAATACTGTATTGTATACTTGAAATGTGTATATTGAAAATAAATGTGTATATTTATTGAAAATAAATCTTAAGTATTCTTAACACAAAACAAAACAAAAATCCCTCAGTGCCTGCACTATACAATGATGTATATATAATGACCAAAACTTAAAGTTACAACTACTGTCTATAATTTCTTAAGGCTATACTTTACTATAAATTAGCATTTCTAAAAAAATTTTTTTTAATCCTTACCCGAGGATATTTTTCCATTTATCTTCAGATAGAGTGTGCGGGAAAGAGCGAGAGTGAGAGTGAGAGCGAGAGAGGGAGAAACACTGATGTGAGAGAGACCCATTGATTGGCTGCCTCACACAAGACCCTGACCAGGGCCAGGGACCAAACCTCAACCAAGGAATTGCCCTTGACCAGAATCGAACCAGCAACTCTTTGGTCCTCAGGCTGATGCTCTAACTGCTGAGCTAAACCAGCCAGGGCTCTAAATCTTTTTTAATACACAGATTTTATGTGTTGTTCTGTCCTCATTACCTGAATTGCTGGTCTAGCTTTTCAGCCACAAAATCCTGTCTCTCTTTTTCTTTCTTCTCCTTTAACAATCTGGTTTTATCTTTCATTCTATTTTTTTTCTCCTCAATTGTTTCTTCTTTTAGTTGCATTTCAGTAAAATACTCATTTTCTTCCAATGCTAAAAGTTCACGGAGCCTGAAGCAAAATGACAAAAAGAAATTTAAAATGATGATGCACATGCACCATTTTACTAATTGATTTTTATTTTGTTAAATTTGATTTCAGAAGTACATGTTTAATCATAAATTTTGTAAGAAGGAAAGGATCATTGCAGTCTTCCATGAAATAAAACTTGTCATTTAAAGCAATAAAGAGACTAATCTGTGCCATGTTTTAGTTGATCACATATAGATGAGATATGTAATGTATATCTTCAACAAAAGAAAAAATGAGCAGATTTTAATTAAAGTAACAAAAGATAAAACAATTATTCTTGGCCTGGCCAGATTGGCTCAGCGGTTGGAGCATCAGCCTGCGGACCAGAGAGTCCCGGGTTCAGTTCCCACTAGGGCCTAGCGGCTAGCGGCACCTACCAAAAAAATAAAAAAATTATTCTTTGCTATCATGATAATGTAGTTTATTACAAGTAAAAATATAAACAAGCAATAGTAACTGATTTGGCAAGAATATGAGTATCTCGGCCATGATTCTTACTATAAAATTCGCTTGATTTTTTTGAATGGTCAATCTCAAGTTGTGGTTTTAGGACTATTTCACAGTCTGGGTCATCAGGTCTGTGAGCCTTACTTATTTCGTCTTTCTTCAGTGTTGATAATAAACCCTTGCATGGCATCCTTGAGTCTTGCTTTCACAAGACTATCCACAAATTTGCGGTCATTGTGCTGGTACCAGTCAACTTTCAAGCGTTCCTGCTCTAGTGACTTAATGGAATCCAAAATAGCATGATGTTTCTGATGGCTGCGTAGGATTTTTTCCAGTTGTTGCTCAGCCCTGTGGGCTTTGGGAGGCTTGGCTCTCTGAAAACAAGTAACAATGATCACTTTTTGTAGATCTACAAATCAACAGCATATTTTCAATTAATCACAACCTCCACCAATACTCATCCTAAATAAAACTTGGTACTCTGTAAGTTTAAGTGGCTATGGTGTAACTTGATTCTTTGAGCCTATACCTAAGATGTCATCAAATCAGTCTCAAATATTTCTCAAGTTCATGGGATTATAAAGGAAAACATTTGAATGGGACTCTAGAAATTATCTAGTCAAATCAGAGGCATTAAGTGATTTTCCCAAGGTGCTTCAAGTAGATCAGACCTGGATAGAACAAGAATCAGAGTTCTTCAATTCTTTTGCCATTGATTTTTAGAGAGAATTGGAAGGATGGGGGGAGAGAGAGAGGGGAGGAGAAAGAGAGAGAGAGAGAGAGAGAGAGGCATAGATGTGAGACACATTGATTGGTTGTCTCCCACATGTGCCCCAACTGAGGCTGGGTATCAAACCTTCAGTCCAGGTATGTGCCCTTGACCGAGAATCAAACCTGCGACCCTTCAGTGTATGGCCCAATGCTTTAACCATTGAGCAACCTGGCCAGGGCAGAGGTCTTCCAATTCTTGACCTTGATATTGTCACTCAGTATCCCACTGTTTCTCAGGGGCAGACAACATAGTTACCACAATCAAAACACTTTAAATTAAAAGGGGCTACTATCTAGCCCTGGCCGGGTACCTCAGTTGGTTAGAGGGTCATCCCAGTACCCTTTGTATGGGTTTGATCCCCGGTCAGAGCACATACAAGAAGCAATCAATGAATGCATAAATAAGTGAAACAATAAATCATCCTCTCTCTCTCTCCCCTTTTCTGTCTCTCAAAAATCAATTTAAAAATATTTTAAAAAGGCTACTATCTAAGTACAGTTGATCCTTGAACAAAATAGAAGTTAGGGGCACCCACCCCTACACTGTAAAAAATCCACATATATCTTTTGATTCCCCCAAAACTTAAGTTTTTCTGCGGTATCCATAGGTAATTAGTACCAGGACCCACTTACCCCCATACCAAAATCTGTGAATGCTACTTGCTATAAAAAATAGAAAAAATAACATAAATCAATACATACAGTCAGCTCTGCATCCTCAGACTCCCAGCTGTGAATCAAAAATAGTGCAGGTGCCCTGATTGGTTTGGCTCAGCAGTTAGAGTGTCGGTCTGCGGACCAAGGAGTCGTAGGTTCGATTCTCAGTCAAGGGCATGTACGTTGGCTGCAGGTTTGGTCAGGTTGTACAGGAGGCAACCAATCAAGACCCATTGATATTTATTTCTTTCTCTCTCTCTCTCTCCCTTCTTCACATGCTATCTAAAAATCAATGGAAAAATATCCTCGGGTGAAGATTAAAAAAAAAAAATGAGTTGTGAGAAGGAAGAACAGAAGAAAGGGAGGGAGGTGAAAAAGAAGGAAAACTAAAAAAGGAAAGTTCTACTGGTGGTAAAACTTTATTTCTATTTCTATTGTGCCCAGAAGTTTAATGCAAGGGCTGTGCTCCTGGCATTTTGGGTAACTTGAATGTCTAAATATGTTCATTTTATACAAACATCCACTAAAAACTTGTAAATCTATTCACCATTTTGAAATGTATTGATACATTTAATAAAATCACATGAATTATCTTTTCCAGTTCTGTACTCCTAGCATTGAACATAATGCCTACTACTGTCAGGTTCTCAATAACGAAGGAAAGACAGAAGAAAAGACAATGTTTCTCAGTGGGTTTGATGCAATTTCTGCTCCTCCTAGGGCCACCATTAGATCATGGTCTTGAGCTTTATTTCCAGCCAGTTTTATCAAGTCAACCTTATGTGAATTTTGAGACTCTGGGGTGCTGATTCACAGTAACAAAACTCTTAACTCACATGGCAGAAAATCAATCTGATCATTTACACTTAGAACATCATTGTCAAGGCATCAAAATATAGGGTTGAGTCTTGGCAAAGGAGTCTCTTTTAACCAAGAAAATAAACATCTGGAGACAGCTATGAAAAGATTCAGGGTTCAGGGTACACTTATAGGTATCTATATTTATTTAGCTGAAGAAGATAAGGCAGGGCTGAGATGAGTCAGAGACAGAACATGATGTTAAGGGTTATATCATGGAAAGTAGCTAATCCACAAAAGAATTATTTAGTCTGGAGCCAGTTAACAAATTACTGTTCTCTAATATATATGGCATTTTACAAATGAAGATTCAGTGACCACAAAACAGAGACGGAGTCAAGACTGCACCTTGGGCAGGATACACATAGCAACTCAGGTTCCCAGTAGACATACATAGGGACTGAGAACAGGAACTAAGCACCACGGTCATCAGGAATCAATTGTCTTGATGTATCAGGGGAAGAACCAGATTCTGAGGTACATTTTGACTGAAGCGGGGAATGAAATTAGAGGGTAGTGAGAAGCTGCCTGAGCAGTAGCCAGGGGGTCAGGAAGCCCTTCAAGGCTTGGGGCATCCTATGCAGACTCTGTAGTCAGAAAGGACCCATTCTCTGGATGAATAAGGTATGACCTAGAGCTCTCTAACAACAAGATGATGCCAATCCACACACAGTCTTGTCATTAGTCAAAAACGCCATTGTTTAATAGAAATATAATGTAAACCAGATCTGTAATTTAACATTTTCTAATAGCTGCATTTAAAAAAGTAAAAAGACACCTTAAACTAATACAAAATAATATTGAATGTAAACTGTATTTGAAAAATAAAATAAAAATAAAAAAGTAAGAAACGGGGAAATTAATTTTAATAATATATTTTATTTAACCAATATATCCAAAATATTATCATCTCAACATGTGACTCTACGCATATTTCAAGTGCTCAAAAGCCATGTGTGAACATTGGCCTCTAAACCATGCTAAAAGCAAGCGAGAACGAAGAATTTTATTACTGCCTTGTATTTTCAAGGTCACTGAAAGCTTTTTTTACTGTAACATCTCACATTGTGGTTTCTAGTATTACAGTTTACAGTCTTATTTCCTAGGTTTGATTCTGGCCTCTACCCTTTTACCCATGATCAAAATAAATGTCCTCCTAAAAAACTATTTTGAGAAGTAAATAACTGGGTTCCTAGGAGGCACTCACCAAATGGTGGCTCATTTCACTTCTCCATTACTTCAGATATTACATCTTTTACTGCTTTTTCCTGGTGGAGTCGTTTAGCATCTAAGTTTCAGCTCTGGTGGCTTTTATTCTTCTCCAACCTCCAATTCTGCAACCTCTAACATCCACATTTCTTAACACACTCTGACATCTGAGATGCACCGACTCTGACTTTTTCTTTTTTTCTTTTTCTATAAGCTCAAAGCATTAAATAGGCCTGTTTCTCTGGTTTGGTGATAATTTGGTGGAATAGAAAGCCTTACTAGCTCCAAACACAAGTAACAACACCTGATCAATTGCACCAGCCCCTAGCTCTGTGTTCTGATACCAAACCCAAAGTAGATAAGTTTCTGTTCCTCGTGAAGTCTGTCTGTAATTATTACCTTGAACCCTACAGTCTGTAGAAAATTCCAGTGTACTTATTTCCAGAACCAATCTTACAGTCCTTGAACTTAGAAAAGAGGGAGCAGGTCTATAAATTGACAGAGTATTGCTATGTGCACCGAGGAACATAAAACTGTATCCTTGATTATCCCTGATCTTTCATAAAGTATCACCACAGACTATAACATATCATTATCTATTGTTAACCTTTAATGATTTTATGCATGAGAAAGTTGTTTCTGCAATTAGATAAAAGCAATTTGAAGGCAGGGATAGGGCTTCTATTGAAGGGTAAACCTAGAGTCATTGTATTTACACCTGTATATCCCATGGTGCTGTGCATGCAGCGTGTGCTCAAGTAATACCCCTATAATTGCCTAATTACACATGGAAGTTTTCTAGACTGTTGAAATACCGGTGCATGGACCAAGTGACTTGAGTTCTGAGCAGGACCCATCAAATTCTGCAGCAGGCAGCATTCCCCAACCCTCCAGGCAACAAACTGTCCTATTTCCATTCAGGCCTGCAGGGATACTTCTGTTGCAGTTGAGTTCACACAAGAAGGGCTCTATAACCACTCACAACCGCTCACAGCCCAACACCATTCCACAAACAATTTTGCTAGGGGTGTAGGACCAGCCTAAAGATCATACAGCTGAATCATCGCCAGCCCAGACCAGATTTCCTGCCGCCTGGCCCACCGTCCTTCCAGTGACACACACTCCACACACCGCAAGGGGGAAGACCTCCTTCGGGTGTCTTGAAGCCTGAAAATCCTCAAGATCCCAAGTAGTGACTCTCTAAACACAGAATCTAAGTAACTGACGCCGGGAGGTGGGGGGTGGGAAGGGACGGAATACAGAAGCGACACTATCCTTTCTTTCAGAATTCAACCCCATTGCATCAGACACCTGTTCCCCTTGAGAGAGCCCCCGCTGAAGGCCAGGTTGGGCTCAGCTAGACCTGGAGTGTTCCAGGATGCTGAAAGCGGTAGGGACCCGCACACATCCCGTGCTTACCACAGACACCACTTTGGGAGTGGGGCCCTTAACCTCCCGCTGTACGATGCCAAACCTCTGGCTGTACATTTTCGAGCACCCTGCGGATGGGGGCGGCGTGCCGCGGTTCCCTAACCGTGGCGACCTGCGAACCAGCTTCCGTGACGCAGATGTTTGATTGCCACGGTGAGCCTCCCGAGACAACCCGCAGGTGGATAGGGCGGAAGTTGGTTCTCCGTTACCATGGTGACCATAGACGCCGGTACCCTTGACTTCCTCTGGGAGGGGAGGAGCTGAGTCTGCGCGGCCCTCGCCACGCCCACTGTCAGGTCTCCTGCGGACCTCGCCCTCTTCCTTTAGGGTTCGTCAGAACAGCAGAAAAACGCCTCGTTTACCCGAAGTGAAGTCGAAGATCTAGTAACATTCCAATTGGCTTTACTATTTATATCCTGTAATCGGTCTAAAAGCATGAGAAAGGTTAGTGGACATTTTCTGTGAAGGTTATTAAATTGTGTGGCCATCTCTAGGTTAATCTTGATAACGTGAATCATCACAAGCCCACCTTTTATATTTCTGTAGTTCTTTGCAGTAATTTGCAAGGTAGTTTCACACATAAAATATCTGAGCCTCACAGATATCTTCTGATAGGTTAATGGAACAGGAGGTATTATTCTCATTTGATACCAAAGACAAGGCTGAGAGAGCCTAACTGCCTTGTCAGCCTACCCAACCAGTAATGATAAATCCGTTATTAACAAAATCTTATTGCACCGGGCAGAAAACAGAGTTTAGACTCGGGGTACTGTAGGATGGGGTGGGGAGCAGACCAGATGGGCTGGTAGTGCAGTGACACGAATGGCTGGGCACAATAAAAACCAAGAGTCTGAGTCGAGGGTCACATTGGACCAGAGTCAGGATGTGTGGATCAGAAGTGCAGGTAACCAGGCCGAGAATCCAGATCCCAGGGATCCTGGAAGGGGCCCTCAGCACAGGTGGAGACCACTGCTATATTTCCAGCCACTTTGCTGCTGTCATTCTAAAGTGGGGGCGAACATAGAACACTAGAATATATAGAGCATAGAAAAAAATATTAGTATCAGTCACTGTCATGTAACAATAACCAAAGCACAACTATTGTGCATACCATCTTAAGGCCACAATTTACTGTAAATTAACATTCCTTAATCATCTTTAATCCACCCACTTCGGATTTTGTATATGGTACGTTTCTAGGTTTGGATTCCATTTCCTGAATTGCTGGTTCAGCTTTTCAGTCACAAAATATTGTTTCTTCTCTTTAAATAATCTTTTAAAATAATTTTGTCTTTTTTCTCCTATAATGCTTCTTCTTTCAATTGCAGTTCAGTAAAATACTCATTTTCATTTACTGCTAAGAGTTTATGTAGCCTGAAAACAAAGAAAGAAAGAAAGAAATTAGATGGTCATCTGGGTTCCCTGGACTGAGTCCTGCGGGTCTGCCAGTTTCTTGACCTTCGAGTCCCACGGGTGCGTGGTCCACCAGCTGGTCTCCGGACACCACACCCTTAGGGAGGGAATGAAAACACCCTCAGCCCGGTGCAAACATTTAGGAAAAGCCGTTGAGATTCAGGGACGCCTGTAGTGCACCCCTGAGGTGGTAAAGCCCGGAGGGTCCACTTGAAAGGAGTTTCAGTGACACCCAGCTGCCCTCGAACATCCCAGTGTTGGTCCTGAGTTTGTCGTGCCGCGCCCTCACCCCGGGCAAGCCGCGTAACTTAACTCCAATTCGGTTTAGGTTTAGTCTGTTTCAGCACGTGAAGCAGGGGAGTCGATTTCCCTTTGGCCTGGTGGAGGCCACGCCCCTGGTCCCCAGCAGGCCTGGGATTAGGAGCTGTTTCCGGAGCCCAGGTGAGATTACCGCGGTCCCCGGCGCCCCCTGGAGTGCCTACTCGGAGGGTGGAGGAACAGGGCTTGGCACCTGCCACGGTGAGCCTGGGTATTCACCCAAACCAAGGCCAAACCCCTAGGGAAGCCTAAGAGTAGTGATTTGCCCAAGGTCCTTGGACAGAACCTGACCTTTATCTTGCCACCCATTATCCCACTTTCTCAGAGGCAGTCAACACTGTTACCATCAACACATTCCCAAAAGGTACACTAAATATATGAATCAGTAAATGGGACAATAAAAATCATTTAAAAATAATTTTAAAATAGAACAGCTTAGAGACAGAAACTATATTATTTCCAATTTCTATTGTACCCCAACAAGGTTCATACAAGGGCTATCTTCTTAATAGCTTTCTGACTTCTATATTTTCACCATTAAGTCCCATGAAAGTTGGAAAACCATTATTTGTAATACATATTAATGTATTTAATAAAATTGCATGGACTGTATCTTTTTCATTCCTGTACCCCAGTATCAAGTTCAAGGCCTACCATGGGCCAGGTTCTCAATATTTGAGTGACAAAGAGCCAAGACCCGCATTTTTACTGGGTAGGTTTGACGGAATTTTTGTATTGCTGGAGTCACCATGAAATCCATGGTCTTCTGCTTTGCATTTCCAGCAATGTAGCTTTATCAAGTTATCCTCAGGTGAGTAGTGAGACCCTCTGGAGCTGATTCATGACAGGGTGGCTTTGTGATGTGTAACCTTGACTAGTCTGTTTCCCAGAACTCCCTTCCCCATATGCTTCTGGTTAGAATGGACCACAAGAAACATATTACGTGCTAATTGGAGGGCAGAAGTGAAGCAGAGAATATTGTTTTTACACTGAAGGCTGGTGCAAGGGCACCAGGCTCTGTTGCAGTTCACATGTCATTTATCTGCTGGCTCGCCTCTTAGTGGAGCAACAGCCAGGTCTGCAGCCACTCCACATTCCCCAGGATTCCTTCAGCTTCTCAAATTCTTAGGCCAGATGCACATTTAACTCTGTGGTGAAGGGCACCAGTTTCTTCTGCAGGACACCCACGTCATCGAAGTTGGAGGTGGTGAGAGAGTGACATGGGTTCCAGGCCATCTGCGGGGGGTCCAGCTTGTTCTTGTGGGCGCCAACGTGTCCTCGGTCTCCCACACTTTATATCCATCTTCCCTTCCCGAATGCCTGCCCTGCAGACTTCAAGCTCCAGCATTAGATGCAAAGACAACAGCCTTACAAAGACTGTTTAACCAGTTCCCACAATTGCATATGGTCAAATCCCTATAATAAATCCCTTAATATACATATATATACATATATACATATATATAAATATACATACATACATACATATATATAAAATCTTTATATTAGTGGTGCTGCTTTTCTAATTGTACCCTGATACACATGGTAACCAGATCCTTATTTCATTAGTCAGAATACCAATCAAATAAATTTCACTTAGGACATCATTGTAAAAAATTACAGGAATACTAGGGCTGGGTGGTTGGATCCTGGGGGGAGCAAAACAATAGCAGAAAATTATCCAGTGAACTCTGGCTGAAGTAGGTAGGACGAGGAAAAGAAAGGGGCAGAGGAGGGTAGCAGAGGGCTATATCATGAGTTATAGTAGGGAAATAGCTAATCTACATCTGAATTATCTACAGCTGCAAGGCTGGAACTAACGTAAGGCAAGGGAGGCACATAAGCTACAAAATTTAAGAGGGCACACAGTCCCAGCCTTGTAAAGCTGGCTAATTAATGACTCTCAAGTCTAATCACTTTCAGCACTAAGCAAAGTATTGGAAAGTGAGGCAGGGCTGAGCCAAGACTGGCCCTTTGACAGGACTTGAAGCAGGAACTCATACTCCTAGTAAACAGGGGCTGAGAGCAGAAATTAAGCACAAATGTCAAGGAACAGGGGACACAAGTTGGCAAGATAGATGAGCCAAGTTGGCAGCCCTGCTTTCAAAGATTGCTTTGGCTGAGGAGGGAAACAAGCAAAATGGACAGCAGCCAGTGGGGAAGTATGCCCTTTAGAGTTTGAGGAACCCTATGCCACACCAGAGGCCTGGAAAGAATTCAGTCTCTGGATGCACAGGTGCTCTAACAAGGTGACCCCATTCACATAGTTGTGGCACTCCCTCAACCACGCTAGAAACAGCAGTGCAAGGGATGTTATAATGCTTAAATTAATCCACCTTGTTTTCAGAGTCGCTGGAAACTTGTTACTATATTGTAACACATTATTGAACTCAGGATTACAGTTTACAGGTTAGTGGCTTAAAGAACAAGGCTTTTACAACCTGGTTTGATTCTAGGCTCTATCCATACTAGCTATTTGACATTGGATATGTTATTTAATTTCTGAGTCTTTATACAATCTGCAAAAATGGGCAAAATCAGTGTCTTCCTAAAAAGACTGTTCTAAGAAATAAACTGGGTCCATAAGGAAGAACTCACCAAATTGCAGTTCCTTTCCTTATTTATTCACATTACATTTTCAATTGCTGTCTCCCTGAGGAAATGTTTAGACACTGCCAGGTCTCACCCAGAAGCCAGTTAACATGATTTATGAAGGTGGCTTGTTTAGGTTGTTTTATGGTGGCTCTAATTCTATCCCCCAGCCCCAGCCCCTCCACCCCTATTATTCAAACTTATGCTCAGGCTTCTAGGATTTGCACCATTTGGAAGAGATGCACCAACTTCCTACTCTTTCTCTTCCTTTCTTGCTTCCTCTATAAGCTCAAAGGACTGAACCGGCCTGCTCCTCTGGTTTGGTGGTAGGTTTTTCCAGTTCCCACTGACTCCTACACAAGCCCTGGCAATCACTTTATGGTCCAGCCTCTGAGCAGATCAGTGTTGTCTCTCATAAAGCCGGTCTGTAAATTTCACCTTGAATCCTACAGTCTGCAGAAGCCTCCAGTCTACCGCTTTCTAGTTCCAGGTTTTTTAAGGTCCTTGGACCTAGAGAAGAGGGAGCAGGTCTGTATGTTGAATGAGGTTTGCTGTGTACAAAATGGAGCATCACAAAACCATTTCCTACTATTCTGTGTTGGTCATCCACTTCCCTTAATTATTCCATCTCTCTTCTCGCTTCTAAAATCTTCCATTACAAACATGGTGATTACCTTCTCCATTACATGTAATGATTTCATGCATAGGGAAATTGTTTCCCCAATTAGATTATAAGCTCCCTGAAGGCAGGCATCCTGTGTCTCCTGAAGGATAAGCCTTCCATGGTCATTGTATTCACTGCTGTATCCCCCACAATGCAGTGTATCCAGCAGGGACTCAATCAGTAGCTCTGTAATTGCCCAAGTGCAGATGGAGGGATTTCTGGCCTGCAAAAACTAGTTTGTAGGAACAAAGGAATCAAGGTGCTGAGGCCAGTTGTTTATGTTGCCTGTGTCTGGGGCTCTGTGCAGGGCCTGTCAACATTCTGCAGGAAGCAGCATTCCCTGCCCTCCCACTATCCCAGTCCTTACAGGCACCTATCCTTCATACTGTTGCCAGGCCTGCAGGGACAGTTTTGCACAGCAGATGAAACTATTAATAACATTAATAGGCCCAGAGAAGGCTCAAGAAACACAGCCTAACTCCCTCCACAAAGGATGCTCGAGGAGGTGCAGGACTAGTCCAATATCACACAGTTGTATGTGGACCCAGATTTCCTGCCCACTCATCACTGCCCAGCCTACTTGGTCATCTCTTGGAGACTCTAAAGACACTGAAGACCCCAAATGATGATTCTCTGAGTAAAAATGTAAAGTCTGACCCCTGCTGGTTTTTCTTAGGACCAGGCTTTCCTTCTTTTTTTTTTCTAATCTCATCCCAGAGCACCAAGTCCTCTCCCTTGATTCCCCTTCCCTCCCCCCGAAGATGAGTCCTGACCTGGACCTCAGGAAATCTCTAGGGGCCTACACATACCTCCCTCCTCACTGATTGTGATCAACGCAGTGGTGTGGGGCCTTTATTACCTCCCACTGCACCATGCCAAAATATTGGCTGTACTTTAAAAACTCAAGGCCCACATCTGACCGGAACCCACCCCATCCCCACCCCTCACTATACGGGGCACACCTTGGCAACCAGACTGCTGTGTCCCGAAGGCGGGTTCCACCCAGGCTGAAAATCTCCGTGATCTGGGGAAGAATTAACATCATGGGTCAACATGGCTGATGGGGTTAAAGCTGGGTCAGGGCAGGGTTCGGTGTCCCCCAGCACTGACCACTGGTGTGCCAGCCCCTCCTGCCTCCTCCTCTGGGGCTGAATCAGAGGCGGAGTCATCCTTGCTCTTCTCCTTGTCCTCCTCAGAGTCAGGTGGCTCTTGCTTCACAAGTGGCAGGCCTGGGTCTACTGCCTGGGAGAGGTGGGAAATGGCAACAGTCAGAAAGGCAAGGCTGGCCTGAGGGAAGAGTCTCTATCAGCCAACCTGTCACTGTGCTGGCAAATCGCACTTCTATAACACTTCAGCACAGGAAAACCACCTGTCTACAAACCTTTCCCATTCCTCACAGATTTCCATTTTTCTGTTAGCTGGACAACAAAGCAGGTAAAATTAGTTGCCTGGGAAGGCAGGGTCATTCTCCGGAAAGGCTGCAATCAGCACACCTATTGCTCTGCTCAAAGAACCACCATCATGGCTCACCATCACTCTGCTCACAGATCACCCATTACTGACCCCCACCTTGCTGGGGCAGCCAGGCAGCAATACAGGAGAAGTCAGGATGGCTGTACCCGGTGTCCAGTCTTCCTGGGTATCCGCCTTCTCTTGCTTCACCTGGGGTAAGACCACAACCCAACTCAGGCCAGGGCACTGGGCCTCCTGTATGAAGGAGGATTGCAGCAGACTTGGTCCCAGCTTCCTGGAACAAGGCTGGATAGGGTTGGGAAGGGCAGGAGAGGTGGGGCCCTCACCTGCAACAGGGGTTCTGTGGAAGCTGTGGCAGGGACAGGCACCTGCACAGGACTGCTTGCGCCCTCCCGTAAGAACACAAGGTCAGTGCCAGGCGGGGGCAACACAAAGCCACTGCCTACTTCCTGCTTCATTGGAGTCTGGGCATGGGCTGGTCGAGCTGTAGGCGTGCCCAAGGCGGGCTTCAAGGTATGGCCTAGACGAGGCCGTCGAGTAGATCCAGGCCTCTTTCGACGAGGGTAAGGTGGAGGTGACCCTGCCCCATCCTCGGACCCTGCCCAGACACTTGGCAGCAGGCGCTTCTGTGAAGAAAGGTGGGGTGTTATGGCCATCTGAAGCAGTGACCTGACCACACCACCCTGCCCTGATCAACATGCCTGCTGAATCCCCTATTAGTATCAGCGGAGACTCTACTTACAATATGAGCCTCTCATCACTAAGCCTGCTAGTCTCCTGTTACCAATGCCACCCAAACTTCTCATTTACCCCAGCATGATGCCTGCTAATCCTTAACCAAATCCATTGCCCCACCCACCCCTCTGAAACTGCAAGACCCATCTGGCCTGACCCACCCACATACCAGGTATGCCCACCACTGCCAGGCACTGGGGAACCTGACCCAACCTATCCTGCCCACCCAGCCCTTACTGCCCCACCCACCATGGCAAACTGCAGGCACTGGCGCCAACGACACTTCTGGCGCTTCTGGTTGCTACCCCCGAATTTGGGCTTATCGCAGCAGAAGTCACAGTGGCCACAGTCCATCCGCCGCAGGCAGGCTGCACAGGCCCCACACTTTCGGTTCTGCCGACGGTTTGTATAAGGCTGCTGGGGTACAGTGGGGATAAGGGTGCTATCAGTAGAAATATTACAATACTGTTCCTGTTGCGCCTCCACTGGTCCCATGGGAGGGAACTGGATGCATAGCCTTAGCCTGACTTCCACTAGTTGTTTGTCAGTGTCTGCTAGTCCCTCGTCAGGCACTGTCACTGCACCAAATAAATACCTCTCAATACCGTTAGCATTGTGGCTGCTCCAACACAGTATCCATTACTCTTATCTGCTAGTCCCACACTAGCTACTAAGACAATATCTTTGACCTTCCCAACTCCGGCAGGATTTTGCTGACCTTCTATTAGCACCTATTACCACACCTGCTACATCTATACTCATCCTTTGTGAACTTTGGTCACCATGTCAGCTTTTCTTTCCTCTTTTAGCCCCAAAAGAATATTGCTTCATCTGACATTGGGTACTATCGCTGCACATGTTGGTCCCCTATCAGTCCCTCCCCCATTGTCTGCTCATCCCATACTAATACCCATTACTGTGCCTTGCTCTTTCCCTATTTGGCCCATTGCAGCATATGCTTCTTTGGGCTTAACCAAGTGCCATGGGAGAGTCTAGGCTTGTCCAGGTAAGATGGGGCCACTCACTAGCTCGTCCTCGTCTACACAGTAATAGATGAACTCGGCAGGTGGCGAGGGGCCCAGGGCTCTGGGGTGCTGCAGAGGCAAATGGGGTGGGGTCAGGGTATGTACTGGGTAAGATTAGGGTTGTGCCTTCCCCCGCCCTCTAGGGGCTCACCAGCTCTGGGGACTCTGGAGGCTGCGATGGGGGAAGTGGAGGCAGGGGCTGGGTTCGGGGGCGCCGCCGGGCAGCCATCTTGGAGTCGCAGCCCCCTCTGCGGCGGCTACGTTTACCCTAGGAGAAAGCCAAAAAAGTAGTTTAGTTTAGGCTTGGTGGCACCAGACTGACACAAAACCCTCCCCGCCAAGGTATGCAGAAAGCATGCATAGGACAGACAGGCAGAGTGTAGGATGGGGCACTCACAGCAGGGGGAGCCACAGCTAGGGGAGGGCGTCGTTGACATCGTTGATGGTGGCGACGCAGGCGGTGAGCAAGATGCTGGCAGACAGAGGCAGGTAGATGGGGCCAGGCAGGTAAGAGTAGGGTGAAGGAGAAAAGAAGACATGAGGTGGGCAAGGCCAGGTTGGGAGGAAGCAGCAACAGCAGTTAATAGCAGAATGAGCTCTGCCCCAGCCCTGGCCCCACCAGCACCGGCCCCTCCAGCCTGACTCACTCGTAGGCAGCGCCGCTGGATGCACCTCCACTGGCGCCTGAGACCAGGGCGGGGAGGGCGAAGGCAGACTCGGCAACGGCCACAGTCCTCTCGGGTCTGACAGCCCCGGCATACTCCACACCCTCGGCTCTGTGGGGGGCCAGAGGCATGATGCATGGGGCCAGGGCTATAAGGGCCAGGGGTTAGGGTTAGCCTTGGGCCCACCCCACCTGCCCAACTCACCTTTTCCACAATCCGGAGGCACCGTCTCTGCTCACACTTGCAGAATAGCCCCGAGGCCACATCATGCGGCAGCTGCAGAAGGCAGGTCGAGCAGGCCCCGCAGTCCTCGGTTACCCGGCAAGCCGAACACTCTCCACAGCCCACACGCTGCCAGAAATGAATGGTGCAAGGTCACAGGCCTAAGCAGAGTGACTCCAGCAGCACTACCCAAGTGTCTGCTGACCCTACATTAGCTCCCATCACCATGTCTACTAGTCCTCATTTGCCTCATCACTGTATCTGATAATTACTGATTAGCCAACAACATTGAGGCCATCACAATGTCTACCGTTCCTGTTAACCTCATCACTGTGTCTATTAACACTCCATTAATTCCCATTATAGTCTGCTAACTGTGACTACTCCCTACAAAATAACTCTGACACCCTATAAATCCATCACCATTCCTTCAGACCCCCATCTTGCTCCCATCACACACTTGTGAGGAAGAGGCAGGTCGTGCTTACCTTAAACATCCTCTGCTCCCGGTTGAAAGCAATTCTCTGCGCTGGGGGAAGGAGAGGTAAGAAGAGAAGTGGAAAGGGAACATCAGATACCTGACCTCATCCAATGTCTCTGCCCTGACATTCACCATTCAACCTCCAGCCCGACAGCAGTGTCCCAGCCTAACATGAAACCCGTTCTAGCTCTCTCCCAGTATCCTAGGGGCCACTCACCACGGCAGTCCTTGCACAATGTCTTAAGCCGCTGTCTTCCGGTACCATCCCCTGAGAAGCTGATTCCACAGTTCTCACAGTACCTGGGAGAGGAAATATGAGTGTGGGCCCTGAGTACACCCCCAACCACAACCCTCACCCACATGGCTCACTTTAAGCCAACACTCACCCAGGTGCAGGGAGTGAAGCTGGAGCTGTGTCAGCATTAGCCTTGGTCTGATCCCTTGGGGCCTCCTTTCTGACCTCAACCCTCTGGGATCCAACCTGACATTTCCGAGCTTTAACTGGCTTCGAAGGCTTCTTCCGCTTCCGGCTGGGGAGAGCCAAGGACTGGGCCTAGAGATGAGAGCAAGGGCAAGAAGAATGTAGGTCAGTGGTTATTAGGTGGCTTGGCCACCCCTGCATCTGGGTGCCCCCCAGTGTGCAGTACCTTGGGGGATGGATAGCACAGGATGCCTTGCTTGAAGTCGAAGAGAGAGAGGTCACACGCAGGGCCCAGGTATCGAGTCAGCTCAACTTTGCTTCGGATCCTGTCTCCTGTGGGACTGGGGGTGGGCCAGGAAGGGTTAGTGCACAGGTGGAATCACTACCCAACCCTCCCATTGGGCAGTGAATGGGCCTCCAGGGCTGGTGGAATACAGAAGGTAGACTGGGATCTGCCTGACCAGGCCCTACCCCAACTAACCTTGAAAAGCAAGAATATTAAAGGTGTATAAATTCAAGCAGGTATACAAACACTAACAAATAATGTAAGTACAAATGAACATGCACATATTTATAACATACACTAGTAGCGGTATTCTACATAAGTGAAAATAAACACAAGTACATTTAAATAACGTTTAAGACCTGCCAAGTTTGACTAGTGGTTAGAGCATTGGCCTGTAGACCGAAGGGTCGTCGGTTCAATTCCCGCTCAAGGGCACATGCCTGGGTTACATGTTGATCCCTGGTCCTGGTTGGGGTTGTGCGAAAGGCAACCAATAGATGTGTTTCTCTCACTTCGATGTTTCTCTCTCTCTCTTCCTCCCTCTGTCCCTCCCGCTCTATCTAAAAATAAATGCGAAAAAAGAAAAAATATCCTTGGATGAGGATTAAAAAAAAAATCCTTGGGTGAGGATAAAAAAGCAATATCCTCAGGTGAGACTTAACAAAAATAAATAAACAAACAAATAACATAGAAATGTGTTTTATAAACATATAAACATACTAAATACGCAAACAAGCAAACATATAAGAAACAAATGTTTACAAATCTACACATATGGCCCTGGCCAAGTAGTTCAGTTGGTTAGAATATCATCCTGATAAGCCAAGGTTGCAGGTTCCATCTCCAGTCACAGCACATACAAGAAACAACCAATGAGCCAGCCCAATGTGGCTCAGTGGCTGAGTATCGACCTATGCACCAAGAGGTCGCCAGTTCGATTCCTGGTCAGGGCACATGCCCAGGTTGTGGACCAGCTCCCCAGTGGGGGGCATGCAGGAGGTGGCCAATCAATGTTCTCTCTCATCGATGTTTCTATTTTTCTCTCCCTCTCCCTTCCTTTCTCTCTAAAATCAATAAAGAAAAAAAAAAATCAATGAATGCATAAACAGAAAAACAAATCGATGTTTCTCTCTCTCAAATCAATCAATAAAACATATATACAAATAAATACACATACAAACAGATGTGTAAACAAATAAATGCAACTACGTACAAAATAAAGTTTAAGTAATTGATGTCAGGACACAATACTCTACAGATCTCATGTACTTCTGCATGTCTTGCAAGAAAGGCACAGATTGTCCTTTGCTATTAACTATCTTTTCAAGGATGTTTGTACTGCAAACAACCTTGGAAGATAAGACAAAGGGTCTCTTCTAGAGCAAAGGGAAGACATCCTTACTGTCCTAAACATTATAAAAGATCAGATTCCTTAAGCTCGGGGTTCCTTTCCTACAACACAACACAGTGCATGTGGAGGTGGTAGTTAGCCTTCTTCATTTCACCCTGTGGGAACTGGCATTCGGGGAATCGGCACAAAAGTGATCTCATTTTGGATACTGCTATTGCTATGAGTAATAAACTCTTTCATCTCTGACCCAGAAATCTCATATCTCCTACCAGCATTCACAAAACTGTGACATATTCACTTGTTATCTTGACCTAATTAGGGTCAAATCTCTGCTCCTTTACAGTTCTTAATCATTGCACTTACACTTATAAATGCTGCAAGTTTTATATGTTATAAATATGTGAATAAATGTTTAACTAAATACAAAAAAATGTAATGATATTTCTAACCTTATTATATTCCTCCAGGAAAACAGATGCTTAAACCAAGTCAGGAAGAGGGTAGAAAATAAGTAGTATATCAAATATATTTTAAATACCTTAAATCCTTGTAAGTGTAAATTGTTTATATATATGTAGTTTATGCATTATCGTCTAATCTCATTACTCATGGCACTTATGTTCTATAAAGTCACCTTGAACAATGAATTAGTGAATATAGAACCAATGCTCCTAGTGGAACTACAGGTTAGGTTCCTATGAGCCTATGGTCACAATATTTTTGTAAACTGATCCTATGTAACCTTATTTTATGTGTGTTTCTGTTTAAAGGCACCCTGCTTAACATATTCTTCTTCCAAATAATAAACTGCGTGGTCTCTGAATGATATAAAGCCAGGAGCTTTGGAGTCCATCTGCATTATATAGGTTTCTTTGCCAACGCCCTTGTAAAACAAGCCAGTCTCATCAGCATTGAAAATCTACTCTTCTAAACCTGGCCAGCATTGCTCAGTGGTTAGAGCGCCAGCCAGCTCACTGAAGGGTTGCAGGTTTGATTACAGTTGAAGGACACGTTCCTGGTTTTCAGGTTTAATCCCTGGCCACATGTGGGAGACAGCCAATGGATGTATCTCTCTCACATAGATGTTTTTCTCTTTCTCTCTCCCTCTCCCTTCCTCCCTTCCACTCTCTAAAAATCAATGGAAAAAATATTCTTGGGTAAAGATTAATAACAACAACAAAAAGATCTATCCTCCTACATACCCATTTCCCCATATAACACTTAGCAGGTATTTTTTAAAATCTTCCAGAGACTTCTAATCTGCAGAACCTGACTTGCATGCAAATTTAACATTTTTCACAATATATCACCTTTTGAAATGTTTGAAACAGCCAGTACTAGTTGTAATAGGTTTAACTTTTTCCTAAAACTGGGCAACGTGACTGTCAATGTCCTTGGCTTTCAGCCTCATGACTATCCACTACACTTTATTTTATTGGTCAGCATCTTATGGATCCACAAATTTAGCCAGTCTTCCACCTTTCCCTTAGCCTCATCACGTACCATAGATGTTACTTTAGCACTTTCTGCTGCAGCCTTGTATACAAATTGGAAAATTTCCTCTTCTTTTTCTAGATGTACCACACTTTTGATTCATTGCTATTGAACTCACAGCCAGCAACTCTGCAACTGACATCTAGACACAACTTATTTAACATGTATTTTCTCCTACAGCACATCACAGACTTCTTGTACTTAGAGCAGTAGGTAGCACTTCAGCACTATGTGTGGGGGCCATTGCACAGAGCACAAAAATTTAAAAAACACGACACTAAGTAGACCGTGAAAAGGACTTGTTTATAGTACAAGTACTGAAATAAGGTTTTGTTCAAATTGGGAATATGTGCATCAGGCAACTTAAAATTTTTGGCTGCTCTGTGCGAGTCCATGAATGACAATGAAAGCACAGCTGAATAATGACTCTGGGAGTACAAATTTTAGTAAGTAGGCAAATTTTCAAATATGAAATCTGCCAATAATGATCAAATGTATATGCATAATTCTAGCCCCACCCATAAATTTAACCACACCCCAATTTCACTCTGCCTAACTAGACTAAGCCCTACCCCTAACCCTGCCCACAACCCAACCAGTACCTCTGGTAGTAGGTGTCTGAGCGTCCACAGGTGGCACCTGACTTTCGAAAAACCTCACGACGCTTCCAGCCAGGGCCCAGGGCTGGGCAGTCCAGCCACTCCTCAGCCATGGGGGGCACAGGAAGGAGCAGAGGCCTGAAACATGGAGGGGGCAATGGGAGAAAGTGAAACTGTAGGAAGTGACACGTTGTGCCCCAGGTTATGAAAATGACTGCCCAAAACCTGGAACCTGCCACAAGCAACTGGCCAATCTGAGGAAGAAAAAAACCCTGTTCTCACCAATTCTTCCCTGTTCTGGGCCCAGGAACTTGACATCCCTCGTCCTCTGGACCTGGTAGCCCCATTCTCAACCCAAAGGTCCTCCTTCCTCTCTCGGTGTCCTGATCCGTTATTCCTCCCCATCCTTAGTTTGAAAGCCCATCACTTCTCCCCACTGCCAACCTAGGAACCTTTCATTCTTCCTCCTTATTTGTCCCTGTCCTTGGCCCAAGAGACATTCTCTGTCTTTCACCTACTAGCCCCCAATTCCTCCCCTTTGCCACCTGTGACCTCCATACTTCCCATCCTCCACTCAAGAAGCCCCCATTCCTCTCCTCCTCAGACTACGGTCCCAGCACTATATCAGTGTTCTGATTCCCATTTGCTCCTTTTCTTGACCCAGAAGTCATCAATTTCTCTCTTTCAGTCTTTTAACCCTCCCATTCCTCCCTGTCTGGTGTCCTCTTATCCTGCTACCTCAGTGATGCCTCGATTTCCTGAGTTCTCTCCCAGAGTCCCCAACTCCTCCATATCCTTCACCTGAACAGCCCCTCATTCCTTCTGTTCCTCAACCTGAAATCCTCCCCCTTATATTCCTTCTTTGTCAGTGTTCTGAGCCACAATTCCTCCCCATCCCTACTCTTCTCAGCTAAAGAGTTCTCACTCCTTCCTTTCAGCATCTCCATCCTCCATGCCTCTCATCAGCCCGAGAGGTCCTGCTTTCTTCCCTCAGCATGCTGAACAGCCCTGTTCCTCTGTTTCTGTCCCAGGACCATGCCACCTGTCAGCGTTCTGACACCCTATTTCATAAGCGATCCCGTCCCTCCCTGTCAGCATCCCAACGCCCCCATCTCTCTCCGTCATCCGCCAGAGAGGTCCTCATTTATCCCCCTCGGGTTTCTGAACACCTATTTCTCTCTCCTTAACCTGAGGGACCCCGATATCTCCCCTCAGCATTCGGGTCGTCCTTTATTCCTCTAAGTCCTCGTCCGGGATCCCGACACTCCCACTGTCGGCGCTCTAAGCCCCATTGCTCTCCGTCTTTAGCCTAAATCTCTCCATTCCGTTCCTTCAATATTCCGACGCCGCCATTCCTCCCACTCATCGGCCTGAGGGCCCTCTCCGTCAGCGTTCTGAGCCTCACTTCTTCCCCATCCTCCGCTTGAGCGCTCTCCACTTCCACCCCGCGACTGTCTCACCAGCTCGGCACCGGGAAGGTAGCTTTTGCAGGTCTAGGTCCGCGGACCCATGACGAGGGTCCCGCCTGTGACTCCCGCCTTGCCCTGCTCCTCTTCTTCCTCCTCTGCAGCCGTTCAAGCGGTAGCTGTCGCCGCCGCGGCCGTTCGTTGCACCGAAACCGGAAATCCGGGGCCCGCCCCCAGGGTTCCGCTCCCAGAAAGACGCCTGCGCGCTAAGGCCCGGCTGGAGTTTGCCCTTAGTAGGGAGGATCGTGCGCCTGCGTGCTGCGTCCCGCAGCGGCGCGCGCTCCTTGCTGGGACCTGCTGCGCGTGCGCGCCGAAGTCCAACTATGCTCGCCTCCCTATGGGAGACCCGAACTCCTTGCGCTTCTCGCTTCGCCAACCTGCACATTCCCCCCACTCCTCCCACCTCGTTTGCGCCTGCGCTCTCCAGTCCCAACCGAAGGGGGCGTGGAGGATTGGGGTTGGACCTGTGCTTTTCGTTGCCTAGGCGGGCTCCACAAGGAGTAACTGGGAGGGAGGGGCGACGGAAGCTGGAGGGGCCGCGGAGGCTGGGGCTTTGCGGGAGCTCTCTCCCACCTCTCGCCTGGGTCTCGCCTATGCTCTCCAGTCCCCGCCTCCAAGACTGTTGTGTTCCGGCAGAACAGTTGCAGAAGCGCACGGAGACAGTTCACACCGCGCTGGCCCCAGCTTCTTCCGCGGGAACGGGGGAAGGGGGCGGTGCCGCGCTAGAAGTAAACAGGCCAGGTCGGTGCAACCAACCCCTGAGAGCGGGTCTGTTCCAAAAAGGCCAAGCTGTGGGGCCAGTGAAGGCTAGATGGAGTTCTTGGCACAAAGTTAATGGGGGTCCAGGTGCATACATGCCCCAAAAGGGATTTGTGAGAAAAGAGGGAGCCTTGTGTTCACCACTGAATACACCTTTGGTTTCGATTTGAGAAACATTGATTTGTTCCATTTATTTATGCGAAACCCATTTCAACTTAGGGAGAGTTTAGCTAAGCTACTCTGTGATCTTGCTGCCTCTGCATCCCTCTTGTTTGGCCAAGTGGCTTGCAGGGGCTTAGAACTGACACTCGCCCTGTGCTGCAAGCGCATGCCCAAGATAGCAGCCAGTCAGTCACAAGCAAATGTAAATTACTGATATGACTTCACCAACCGCCCTTGTAATCGTCTCCCCTTCTTCCCAGAGCTTGTTTGCCTTATGCAACCCTCAGACAAGACCCCATGGGGGCTTCCCCAAACCCCCTGCTCTTTTGTTTTGAAATAACCAATCCAGCCCTAGCCAGGTAACCCCAAAGCACACCACTCAGGTCCCTAAAAAAGGCAGGTAGCCCAGGTCCTGCCTCTCTCTCTGCACTCTGTCTTGACTTCCCATGTGGCCCCTGGAGGAATAGTGTACTTCCTCCAGGCATGCATTCATTGGCTGCTGCTTGTATGTGCCCTGATGGGGGATTGAACCTACAATCTTGGTGTATTTGGACAACTCTAACCAACTGAGCTACCTGGCTAGGGCTGGTGTGGAGAATATTAACGCCCACATAGGAGTGGTAAATCAGCCACACACTGAATGAATGCTAACTGTATACTCACTGTCTCAAAATGAGGCTGTGAATGTAGATCTTTGGGCTCTCCCTCAGCAGGTCATATTGCCACAGCCCAAGGGGGGAACCTGCACCTAGTAGGTGCCACCTGTATATACTCACAGCCTATACATGTACTGGCCCATTTACCTCAGGAGTTTGAGAATTCGGATGCAACTGGGTAAAGTTTGCAGACCAAATTTTAGTTCTTCAAATTTTTATTAACAAAACCAGGAAGAAAGGAAGCAAGGGTGAGCAGACTGCACCATTCAACCCAGGCACAGAGAACAAAGAAACAGAATAGACAAAGACAGGAGGAAATTTTGAGACCCTCTGGTAAGGGCAGATGGGAGGTCAAATGGTGGATGGGCACAAGGAGAAACCGAGGGACCATTGGAGAAAGACAAATGGGGGATTCCAGGAACCTCCCCAGCCTGGAATGCAGGCTGTAAGGATGTCTGAGCCAGTGAAGTTCAACGGTCAGCACTGGAGCGCAGGTCGGTAGTGAGTGGGTCATGCTGGATGGTTTGGTGCAGCATCAGGGCCAGTAATCCTGCTCGGTTTGTCATGGCTGTGCGTACATTGCGCTCCTGCTCAAACAGCTCGTCCAGCTTGTACCACTGCCAGGGGAGCAGAAGGAGCCATGACATGGAGCTCTGGAAGACCCGCCTCACCCAGGCCACATCCAGCAGCAAAACCTACCACGCGCACGCGCTCCAGGTCCACTTCAGCACGCCGCAACTTCTCCCAGCAATAATGACGGTTGCACTGGCGCTTGGGCAGGCGGCAGAATTCACCTGTGAGCTCAAAGACATCACGAACAAGGGGGCACCCGCATACCTCGTCGGCTGGCACCTACAAGAAGACCAGGCATGGGGATGAATAGAGTGTGGTAAGGCAGAAAGGAGGATAAGAATAGGGAGGGGTCAGGAAGGAAGGGAGGAGGGAAGGAATAGAGAGTTCAGAGGAGAGTGGAGAAGAATGGAAAAGGAGAGGAGTAGAGGATTAGGCGGCAGAGAAAGCCCAGCTGGTGTGGCTTAGTGGATTGACTATCATCTCATAGACTGAGAGGTCCAAGTTTGATTCCTGGTCAGGGCACATGGCTGGGTTGTGGACTCGATCCCCTGTATGGGGTGTGCAGGAGGCAGCTGATCAATGTTTCTCTCACATAGATGTTTCTATCTCTCTCCCCCTTCCTCTCTCTCTAAAAAAATCAATAAAAACATTAAAAAGAAAAAGCAGGGAGAAAGAGGGAAGAATAGGAGGTGACGTGATAGGAAAAAGGAGATGAGTGAAGGGTGATGAGGCAGGGTACTGGGGAGTTATGAAAATGTTCCGTTAGGAAAAAGGAAGAAAGGAGAGGGGGTGTTATAAAGGGATGACTGTAGGGCAGTGGGGAAGGGAGGAATAACAGAATGTGAAGAATTGAAGGAAAACCTTACTTTGGGGTCCCGTGAGTGCTCTGGGCACAACACCTGGAGCCGTTTACAGTATGTTTTGCTCTGAGGATTGTAGACATCACAGAAGAGTCGTGTGGCCCTGGGGGTTTGGAGTAGAGAGAGGGTAGTTAAGGGAGAGAAGGAAGGGTGTCCACCTGTCCTTGCCCACCAGGATATCCTGCCCCATTTTACTTCTGGTCCCAGCATTAACCTCCTTGCTCTAACTCCGCATAGCACCCACACTCACCCTTCAATGCGTGTGGGGTACATGGACCCAAAGGACGTCTGGCTCTCATACTGGAAAGATGAGCACAAATGGAAAGAACTGTGGATGTGTGCTGCATGCCTTCCCAATACAGTACCCAGACAACACATCTGTCCCCCAAGGACCCTCTAATGTTCCCACACCGTCTGCCCTCTCAGGCTGACACCCTGACCTTGGCATAGCAGCGCTCCATGTGGCGCAAGGCAACACGTGGGTTGATGGGGTGCCCGCAGGAGACGCAGAAGATTTGCAAGTCTGTGTCGTCACTGTCCCCCTCATTGCTCTGCATGAAATGGAAGGAAGGATGAGGCCAGGCAGGACCAGGTCCTGGGCCCTACACTGCTGTGCCATGCTTGCTCACCTCCTCATCCTCTCGCACAGCCTGCTGCTTGGCGCGAGCGATGATCGCCTCCAGCTCGTGGAATCGGCGCTCCATTTCCTGGAGGCGGGTGCGGGCACTCTGCTGCTCACGGCGAATGCGTTCAAGGAGCTTCTTGCCGTGCTCTTCAGCAATGCAGGGGCTCTGCTGCCACTGCTGGATGCGTTGGGGGAGGATCTCATAGATGCGGCTGCGGGGAACAGTGAGTTGAGTGCAGGCAGAAAGGAAGCAAGCAAGAAGATGAGTAAGGGGAGTGAGCCACAGATGACAGAATGGATGGGTGACTAAATGGTGAAAGGTAAGTAAACAGATGACTGAATGGTAGATGGACTGGCAGATTAGTGACTGAATGGTAGATGGGTGGGTAGACAGATAGGTGGGTGCTTGGTTGACTGGTGGACAGATAACTGGCAGACAAACAAAGGATCTTGTCAAGCCCTATCCTAGACTTCCTGACTCCCCTGAACCCTCCAAGAATGACTCACTTGGCTGCCAGCTTCATGCCACAGTCATCTGAGCAATACTTGGAGCCAGGCTGTGCAGGGCGCACACAGCCAGGCCCCAGGCACTGCGGTAGTGATGCAGGATCCTTCACATCTGCTCTCTCTGGGTGTTTCCATTTATCCTTGTGCTTCTGCTTCTGCCGATGCCGCTTGTATCTCTCCTCCTTCTATGAGACAAGGCAGGTCAGGACAGGGTGGAGCTGAAGTCAGCCCCATACCCATCTCCCCCTACATCCCACTCCTTTCTGGCTCTTGCTCCATTCGGCCCCTGCCCTCTGCCTTCCCACACCCATTTCACCCTCTCTATCACCTTCTTCTCAGACTTCTTCTCCCGACGCTTCACATGCTTCACTTTCACTGCTCTCTTCCGCAGCGCAGGGTCCAGGAATGGGGACTCCTCTGTGTCACTCATCCAGGGCTGCAAGCAAGGCATACACTGACCACCTTGCCCCACTCACGACTACCCCACCACCTACTCAGTTCCCGTATCAGCCTTCCATACCCTCTGCCTCCTCTCTTTTCTTTATGGATACTCTGGTTTCTGAAACCTCCACCCTTCCACCATGGGATACTCTGCCTGCTCACCAGGCTGTGGTCATCAAAGGCCCCTGCACATAAATCCTGGTACAAATCAGGGTCCAGTGGTAGGTCCTCATCTGAGAGTGGCTCAGGTGTGGCTGTAGCCTCAGGTGGCTCCTTGACTACTGATGACGCCACTGCCCCCTCGTCCTCACGGATGCGTCCCAGCTTCGGTGACGGCTGTGGCTGCTGCTGGGTGGGCAGCGGCCGGCGAGGCCTTGGCAGGGACTCTGAGGGCGTCACTGGCGAGAGCTGCGGAGCAGAATCTCAGGACTGGCCCTGAACAATCTGCCCGCATACCCCGTCCCGCCCTGGGAGGCTGGACTCACCGCGGAAGGGAAGTACTTGTACGATTCCTGTGCCGGCAGGAGGAAGGCCCAGGTCAGCCCCAGGTGGATGGAGGGTGGCCCTACCCTAGCC